GGATTCCACCCGTTCGAGCGCAGCACTAACGCTAGTCGCGAGAATTAACACGTAGTTCGGTAGCCCTGCCTGGCACCGTGGAATAGTTAGCAGCGAACTCCACCGCTATAGTTCCGAACAAATTCCATATAAAATGGCAGAATTGTCGATTACCAGGAGATCGCCCGAGGTCGCCTATAAATCCGGCGAAATAGCGGGACCCGCCAGGCCCTGCTAACACCAGGCTAACATTTCGAGCACAGAACAAGAAAGACTCAAAAATGTAGTCGATTGCCTCCCGCGAACGCTGTCACTATCTTTCTAATATGCCCTATTAAATAGCGACCAAAGAATATGTACTAATATGGTAGCAAATAGTGCAAATAATGTGCTAATATGGTAGCAAATATAGCAACTAGCGCTCCTAGTCTCAAAACCTGATACTTCAGCGCCAAATAAAGACATTAACATGATTCTTACGGAAGAAATACATTTTTTTTTTAAATTTACCAAACGAAATAAGACTCCTTTTTACCTACTTTTTCTGTGACTTAATTATATTGAATGGTTCAAATTTCGGAAAATAATAACGTACAAAAGATGTTTTATATACACCAAGAATAAAATAGTTACAAATGCAAGATTATTCTTTCCTTAACACTTCAAAAATACATTTGGAATTTTTTAATTTGCCGTCTTTAAAATCATTTCAATCATTAAAATCATTTCATAAAATCGTTTCAATTCATTGGTACCTCTGCCTACATACAAATTAGTACAATCCTCACATACATTATTTTTCAATTGAATTCTAATGATTTGCATTGTTTTTTTTACTAGTTTACTGTGACGTAAACAATTTTAAAAGTTTCTATCGAAAACATACTTAATCTTAGAAAACAAACAAATAGCTAATTCATTTGGATAGAAAAGAGTGGCATTCACATACTGCTCCGTCAGAATATGCGAGTTGCTTAATTTATGCTTTTCACCTACATTCGATAAAGCATTCTTATGAGAAGGACGAACGCGAGTTCTTTTGCATTTCATAATTAAAACAGCCAAAAACTGCAAACACTTGTGGTGCCATAAGGAACGAGGTCAAGAACATTATTGTAAAATACGTTTTCCAGAAATTGACCAGAAAGACAATCAAATTAAAAGAAATCGAGCAGAAAACAAACGCTAACAGAGCACCGCAGAGCACTGAGCTTAGGCTGTAAGAGTTTTCAGTGAAAACTTTTCACCAGGTTCTGCCACTAGATGGAGCTGGCATCAGCATTTCTCGATATATCGCCATATATTGCGAAGTGTCCTGAAAGAGAGCACCTGATGGTGTAATCAGATAGTATTTCAGGCGTATTTTTATTTTATGGGTATAATATGGTAGGAAGGGAGCACCTCAAAGTTTGAGGCTCAAACCAGCCTGAAACGTAAATAAGCCTGTAACGGTCTGTAGCAGTACAAGTCCTGTAGTACAAACAAGTAGTACCTGTTGTCCCTGTTACATCTGTCCCATCCTGTTAGTGTCAATTGGTAATTTAGATCCGTTTGAAATGGTTGACAATATATCGTCATTCCTCTCAAAACAAGTGCGAAATATGGTTGTGGAAGTTGGAATACCTCATTTAAGGAATCACATCTGTAAATATAAGTACTTAAACCACCGCTTTACCTTTAATTGGGAAAAAATTGAAGCAATTTTGTGCATTTCTGGTGAGGTTAAGTCATGTTAAAACTTAGTTTGATCCACATAATTTTAAATAAAAATAAACTAGTTTACATGTAGCAGACCTCATTATTATTTGCAGATGATTTCTGCATTCATGATCAGCCATCATCATGGTTTATTGATAAGATAAATAAAGTGTGGCCGATATTCACTGAAGCCCATTATTTTTACAACTGTACACAACCAAATCTTGTGGATATGCAGGATTTGTATGAATGGACATCACATCCAAAGGAAATAGAGGAGTACTTGAACCGTTTTCTAAGTTCTGATTTGCCAACAGCAGAAGCAATTTTATTTTTGACTGCAGTACTAGAGAGATCTCTTGGAAATGTTAGTGTTAAAATGATAATGACTTGGAAAGTACATTGTACGAAATTATCAGGGTTCAATTTTCTTTCAGTTATTTTTGTTAAAAGGAAGTAATGTGCCTTCACTTTTGAGAGACTTGCTCTCAACAACTGAAATTGAAATAATTCTTGGGAAAATTCCTGTAAGTATTTCAACACAGTATATTGTATCTACATGACACAGAAGAAAGTAATGTTTTTTCTTTTGTAGGTGGTGTTTTTGCAATTGTTGGTGGGGACCCCATTAGCTTTGAATTTGAGAAATATTGTGTGGCATGGTTTTCCTAGACAAGATGAATTGTATCCACACTTTGTGTCAACACTGTTTTCAGTGATTCTGTCAATTGGCGAACTTTTACTAGAAAGAAATATAGATTTCTTTACCATACCAAAGAGAAAACAAATTGAGTTCCCTGAGGCAACTTCTCTTGATACCTTCATAAGTGTTCAAGAGTATTGCGAAGAAATATTTGAATTATTTTTTCATTCCAACTTCATTCCAAAATGCCATTTTTCTTATTGGAAGTATGCTTTGGAACATTATAAAAATAAAAGGTGAATATGGCCTAACCTTAAGTCATATTAATATAACTCCTCGGTAACCGAAATTTGCTGAAGTTTGTTCTCCCTTATCTTTTGTTAGATTTGGACATGCTTTACTTCTTCTCCTTCCACAAGTTGAACACATGTTACGTTGCCTTTACTGCAGAATCAATGATTGTTTGGAACAAATGCTTACTGCTGAATCAATCTCTCTGTACACTACATTAAATGAAATAATGGCCGAAAATATTATAAATGAAGATGGAGTATGTAGAGAAAATAAAATAATCAATTTCCTTGGAGAATCAGTAATGGAAATGTTGCAAGATATATTTGTTCATCCAGCTGGGCCTCGACTTAGGGATAAAATAGGCCATGGTGAATGTAATCTGAAGGATATTCCGGAGCAATTAGTTAATCAAATAATTTCTGTAATTGTGGTTATTGAAATGAAATCTTGGGAGGAATTGCCAAACCAAACTCTTAAAAAAGAAGTACATGTAGAATTAAAAAATCAAATCCATCATATGTGCAAGAATTATATAACGAAATTCCATCCAACTTCTTTGTTGAAAGTGACCATTAGACACTGCTTGTTGAACTTGAACACATTATCCATTTACATTACCCAACACTCTAATAATGATATTGACCAAATCATTTTATCATGTAAAAGTTCAGATATGATATGTCTTATTCAAGAAATTCTTAATAAGGTACAGAAGAATGATTTATATTCATGCATTGAATCTGTGTCTGCTTGTGTTGTATCAATGAAAATTCAAACACTTTTTCGTCATAAATCAGAGAATGAAGTTGTTAACATATTAAGACAAATAATGGACAATTTGGACCAAATATGTGAACAAGTAATGGAAATTGTACAAGAAAAATGCAGTCTATATTCACAACGTTTGCTGCGTTCTCGACAAAGGGAAACGTTTAAACGCATGTTATGCCTTATTCCACAACTAAAAGACATTTTATTCTGTATAACATGCATAATTGTTATGTGTCTCCAATTTGTGAACAACATTTGCAGTTTATTGGGGCAAGAACTTGAAAGTTTATTAAAGTAAGACCTTAATTCATACCTCTTCTTTTTTTTTAAAGTAAAGTGTTAATTTTTCATTGTTAACATTATTGCTTTTCAGATTTTGCCGAATGATTCTCCAGTTTGTGCAGAATGTTGTTTCTCTGACCAAACGTGACAAAAATCGCTGGTTGGAAATACAAATGTTATCAGAAAAGTTTTGCAAGAATGTCATAAAGAATTTTAATTCTCCCTTTTTCTTCAGATTATTATTATCTGATAACACTCAGTAGTATTGAGAGTAAATTCCTTTTTTATTTTTGCTTTTGTTGGACATTTCACTGACTGAAAAGTACATTTGAGGTTTCTTCTAAGACTTGTTTATTTATTGTTATGAAGTAAAGTAACTTGCAATTTTGAAATAAGTAGTTGTAAAGAAAATTCAACAATTTTAATAAATAACATAAAGCAAAGTTTATATTTTGATTCATTAGGTCAGGCACGTTTACTTGTACAAGCTACTTGCCCACCTGTGAAGCATGGCTCTCCTGCAAACACGGACTTCCCCTGAGTCCTGATTTCCCCTCCAAAACCAGAAAAGGATGTACTCGAGCAAGCTGATGCGAGAATGGCGAAAGGAAAGCACTCTCACTGTATCACAACGCGGTTGACCGCTTGCGGACGCGATAACGACTAAGGCCATTAGTCCTGTAAGTGCAGTGCATGTTTTATCTCTGGCGGTGGCGATGAACGCTCCCCCCCGGCTGGTGAGATCCGGTACCGACCTACGTTGACTTCAGGGATTCCCCCCAGCCCGGTCATCTCTAAGCTCCCGACATGTGTTTCGTGCTCCGGCATTCACCTGGCGTTGATCGCAGAACCACGGCAAAATACCTACCGGAGCAGCTGGCCGCTAGAATTCTCCCCATACAGCAGCCGAATTCGTCCTAGCTATGTACGTAGCTAGTGTAGAAAATCCTGTCACCAACGGTTCTCGCACCCTAAGACCTCCTTCAAACACACTGCACAGACATTAGTTGATGCCCTGAGCCAACTTTGCGGTGATCACGACGAATAGTTGCTTTTTGCAAATTTGTCTGTTGAACAAATGTATTTTAAATATTATATTTTTACTTTTATTAGCAGATCCCGTGTGAAATTTTAGTACATCTGTGCACGTAATGGGTAATGAAATACTATTATTTTTAAGTCTATATTCAATACTAAAACGATATTTTAAAGCTTCAAACGATTGAGAAGAATCTCCTATATAGTAGGGCCTAAATTACTTTCGCTGAAATGTGTAGGCAGAAGCCATGTTTTCTGGGTTCTTGATACCGAAAAATTGATTGACAGAGAAACTCCGTCAGTCGCCAAGGTTAGCGCGTAGATCGCTCAGCCGATTTTCTCCAAAATTGATATTTTCCGATCAATAAGGCTGATTCCCCATTGAAAGTGAAACTCATATTTTCATTTTAGGGGTTCTTCGCATTAAGCCCTTAAAACGATTTCAAACAAAAGGATCCAAATTTTTTGATTAAATGTTGTTGTCGGATAGCGTAAATGGCGCTTAAGAGAATGGTCCAGGCCTCACGTTCGTTGCAATCACAGTTTGTTTTGTTGTTGTTTTTTGAAAATTGGAAAAGTGACACTTTTTGGCGAGTCTCCCTTCAACTATAATATTGGAATTTTTTACTTAACCAAGCTTGTTCCTTAAAGACGATTCTTTAATTAAGTTCATGTTCAATTTTTCGGAAATGTGAGAAGTTTTTGTGTAATTTAGCGCGAAAAATATTCAATTAAAAAATTATTTTTTTTTCTCAAAACCACTTCAATTATTTTTAAATTTTCTCCTCATATGTAATAAAGAACTTAAAAATATAACACCAGTTCCAATTTTGACTCCGTTTTTTCGAAAATTGTAAAAATGTTACATTTTTAAAACTACAAAGTTGAAGAAAGAGAATTTTGCCTCGGCTTCTAACGTAAAAAATCAGCTCTTTAAAAGAGGTCTTGTAATTTGTTTTGTAAAAAAATTAGTATTTTGGCATATTTTGCTCTTAAAATTTATGCAATTTCTAAAAACAGTATTTTCTAACAAAACGCTCCAATTTTTTTTAAATTTGTACCCATGGATAGAAGAAAGTACGCTTTCATTTTCGTTGAATTCTCCATATTTTCTAAAATTGCAAAAACTTAACATTTGGAAACGACAAAATGGAAGATGGATATTTTTGTCTTACACAAAAGCTGTTTCAAAAACAACTTATTAAAAAGGTCATGTATGTTGTTTTTAAACCTGTACTAGTCAAGAATGTGTTGCTTGAAATTAATGTAATATATAAATGTGTCCCATTAACTACGTGTATCGAGAAAAATCCGTATTTTGATTATAATTCCACTGCTGAAATATCGTTTTCTAAATTGAAAATAGTTAAAGCAGTGTTTTTAAACATAAAAATAGTTTTAAAGCGTTTCTGATATTTGGTGCAGTTTGTATAAGCGGCAGACTGTAGATTGAAAGATGGTTAATATTCTAACGTTTCTTCGTGGTGAATTAAAACACAGGTAATATTTGAACAAGGACGTTTATTTTCTTTCTTAATGATGCACTAAATTTACTTGATTTATTTACAAATAGGTTGCACAGTCCTTGTGTTCTTAACTTGGTTATTTCAAGGACTCACTTCTCTTGATCATTTATTTACACTGTTCACTTCTCTTGATATTTGATTTAAACTGTTCACTTCTTCTGATTATTTATTTACACTGTTCACTGCTACACATCGCACAGTTCGATGCACTGTTCACAGCCCTCTGTGCCGCTGTTCTCTTATTGCACCGCTGTTCACCGAAATGCACACCTCACAGCTCAGCTTCCACTTCGGACAGACTGCAAACTGACTGACTGCGTACTTACTGGCTGACTCGCGGTCGCCGGCTGCGGCAAATTTATACCTGTCTGGTGCCCGTCTCGACCCATCCGGAACTAGCGCCACACTTCTACGCGACTTGCGAATAACCCGGAACCGTCCAGTTTGGGGGATAGCCGGCATATGACGTAATCCGCGCTGCGAATCCTGGCAGATGATGCAATATTCGTTACAATATATTGAGAGGTCGGTCACTCTTTCTATAACTGAAGGACCACCATGAATTAAGGCCCATGGAACCTGTTTTAGTTGTAAAATTAATCGATTAGGAAATAGTCACCATCACACAATTAAAAACAAATGTGAATTAAGATGTATAATTCAACTGATTTAATATTTACAAATAAAGAATGAGTTCAATATGCTGCATGGAAGCACATTTTAGTTTATTTAATCATGAAAGAACCAGTTATATATTAGCAATTAGTGCCATGCTTGATAAGCAAGTGAATAATAGTAAATACAATGAATACACAGTGAGGAATTTACATAAAATAACCATGTAGTGCTGAAAGAGAAAATACTCAGTTTACGTGTGTTGTCCAGTAGATCTGGCAGATGATAATGTTCCAGGCTGGGCGCATAGAGCGCCAAAGTTCAACTTTCCCATCCGATAGTGCTAATTGCACCTGTTAATATGACATAAAATTCATTTCGGGGTATTCTTTGTTTGTTTGTTTTATAATTTCATAATTATATAGTATATATCTCTTTTAATATGCACATTTCCAGCAATTTGTATACGCAACTGTGTTCAGAGGTGGATTTACGCATAAGCACAGTAGGCACGTGCCTACGGGAGCAAATTTTCTTGATATTTTCTAAAAGAAATGTAGGTTCTCTAAAAACTATAAGAGCATAAATCATATTTTTATTTTAAAAATGATTTAAACGAGTCTATAGCAGCCCCCTCAACCTTTGATTTATAATTAAGTTAGAATTTCAAATGGGAACATTTTCAATGTTATAGAATACATGAAAAGAATCGAATTCTGATTGGTTGATTGAGCAGAAAGAATTACATTCTTAGAGTAAGGAGTTTGAATTAGCTAATCAGAAATCGCTGACGGATTTCGTCATGCATTCATATTGCGCTAAATAGAAAGTAGCGGCATCTATTACTTCTTGAGTTAGTTCTAGAAGACGGATCTGGAAATAACCCTTTTCTTTCTTTTGTTACTATTGTTGTGTATCGTTTATTGTAAGAGCCTGTTGAGTAAAAAGTATATTTTGAAGTTTTCAAACGAGTGATTATCGAAAAAGGCTCCGCGGAAGTCAATATGCAAAAATCCGAAAAGAAAAGGAAGCGAAATGTCAAAATGAAATTGATAAGACAAAAGAAATAAATGAATTCTTTAAATCTATGTGTGAAACTGATCATTGCTGCAGTTCATTCGACAATTCTATGACTGAGTTAGTATAAACATATAGATTAGATAACATATTTAGTTTTCAACTTGTATATTTTTTTCATGTACTAATAACTTGTGATAAATAAATGTTAACATTAATATATATTTTAATGCAGATGCTAAAATATTCTCAAAATGCAAAAAATGTTTAGTACAATGATTAGAAATTAAAAATTCTTGACGTGTTGTTGTATTCGTAAAAATGAAGTATATCTAATATAGAATTTAAATAAATTAGCATAAAATATGTTACTATAAGTATATTACTAAACTTTATTTTATATAATATGTAATAATACATATAATATTTTGACTCTTTTATTTATTCAGGGTTATCACTGAATCTAATAATGAGACTGCAATGTTCCAAACAGTTAAAAATGAAATGGTTCCTCAAGCAATTGAAAATATAACTGCGATTGATTATAAGTCGACGATTCAATCGATGTAAATAGTTAAGCATTTTTTGTATAATTAATTAAACCTTTATATATATTATAATCAAGATGGGGCATACTTCAAAACTTAATAGATGAAGGATCCAGTACATTCTCTTTGAAAAGTCTTTGAAGTACGCCCTGGTCAGATCGAGATGGTGCATGTCAGGCTCTAAAACATCGTTGGCAAAATGTTTTTGATGCCCTTTAAATTATATCTGATGATTCTACGCAAAAACCGTCAACGCGTGCAGAAGCTAAAGATCTTATTGTTGCTTTAAATCGACTTGAAACAGCTATTATGGCCGAGGTTTGGGAAGTCATTTTAGACCGCTTTAATGCGTCGAACAAACTGCAAAATCGTAAGAGTATTGACTGAACTCCTTAGCGTTATTGTGTATCGAAGAATATCTCAGCGATTTAGATTATACTATAATTATTGATGAATTTGCTCTCCAAAAGACACGTCGCAAAATTTTACATCAATAGACAAATTAGCTATAGTTAATAAAACGTTATTTCGACTATAAAAAACCCCATCCAAAAAGTTAAATGTTATATTCCTTGTTTATAATGGTAAAACGAAAATTATAAAAACTGTTACAACGTCGTAATATTCTAATCGTTCAGTTGTTGTAAATAAAAATCTATCATATTAATATTTAATACAAGCTATTTGTCTACTTCATTAGAGTATACCTTATGATTTCAGAAGTATATGAATCTGAAAGTAAGGCCCGTTGACGAAGGAAAACATGTTGCAATTCTAGTTTTCATGTTTTAGTTTATTTTTAATGTTAACGTTTCAATGTTGAAAAGTTAATAATGTTGAACGTTACTTGCTATGAAGATAGTTTATATCCAAAATTAGCTAATTCAAAAAAATTATTTAATTTATGAATACAATATGCAAAATGTATAGTTAAGTTACTTTTAAAGTTAAAACGTTCAAATTGATGAGGAATTGTTACTGAAACGTTACAATTTGAAATGTAACATTAATTTGAAACACGGGGCGGCAAAAATATTAATCCACCCCTGACTGTGTTTGGGAGTTAATGTGCTTTAAATTACTTCTAATGAAGATTTTCGAAAACTCGAAATTTCAGTAAAAAAGAGTTTCAACTTTCGAAAATTGAGTACCGCATAAATGCTTTTTTCTTAAAAACGGATTCAAATTTCTCAATGAAAATTGTGTTTTAGGACGACTCTTCTTTAATATTCTTAAAGTAATATTTCGGTTCTAAATTGCGTCCTTTGTGTTAAATGTGAAAACGAATAGATATCGGTCATTATTGGTTGTAACGCTGCACTGATTACAGAAGGCGATAATGACAATTATCTTTCGGTAATATTAACTAATGCTTTTATATATTTGCAAAATATTACAATACCATAGTATTTAATAATTACTTGTAGGTATATATTTTTCTATATATTTGCATGTGTTTGCCCACGCTATCTGTATCATATTATTTATTAACTTTTAATTATTTTACTTTTCGCATGGTGCTTGCGAAGAATATTATAAGACTAAAAAACTGATCCGATATATTCATGAATACACTGCATACCTTATATAATGGATTCAATGCTAGAAATATATTCTCGTTTAAAGTTTGGAGTGAAAAAATCGATTGCTTAAAACTGTTTAATTTTCGCACCAAATGTTCTACGATTTCAAATGAGTTTTACAAAAATTGATTACTGAGATGTGCTAATTCGGAGAGAAATTATGGTATAAATAGTATTAGATAATCATTACTAAAGACGAGAAAGTACCTGCTATTTCAGAACCACTAGTTCTCTATTCTTTTCTTTTTTAAATTACAAAAAAAGAGTTTTTTTTTAGTTGTCCTCTACGTCGGTTATATTTACATTAGCGGTGATTTGTTCACATTATTGTATTTACGAGTATATATGCTTTAAGTTACGTCATATGTAGTTTCTTGAACTCTGAAAAGTTTTCTGTGAAAATGAGCACAAAATTCCGAAAGTCTCAAACGCAATTTTCTCAAAAAGAGCTCAAAATTTTTTCTTCTACCTTTTCGTACGGATAATGCTGAATTCCATGTTTAAGATGGCCCAAAAATTTTGCTGTATCCTTTTGTTCTTTCAAAAATTACACAAATGTAATTTTTATGAAATATTTCACACGAAATGTACATTTCCATCAATTTGCATAGATTATTGCATATGTGAGTGGAGGTGCTTTAAATGACTTCCAATGAAGTTTTTTGAAAACCCAAAAGATTTCTGTGGAAAATAATTTGAAATATTGCACCTACACTATAGCTTTAAAGCTATTTTCTTAAGAACGGTTCTAAATTTTTCAATTAAAATTGCCACATAGGACGAGGTTTTACTGTTCTTTAATATCCTTGGAGTAGTATTTTCAGTTCTACGATTAGGAAACTGAAAAATTGAGAACATTTCAAAAAAAGTTACTTTGGGAGACGATAGATGGTAGCTGGCAAGAGTATTTGGGAAGTCCGAATAGCTAGCCCAGACCAAGAAAATAGAAAAACAAATGCGAGAAAATCTGTGCCATTCTTTAGCTCCACAAGTCCCTAGTGTTACAATGCCTAATCCATTCTGCGCAAGCAGTGTACGTAAAAATGCGTAGTAAAAATAATGAATTGTATTACAAGGTAAATTGAGTTTATTCGGACGTACACATTATGCACATTCTGCACAGTCATTGATTCTCCCAGCAGCTATGTGTTTGACGTTTCTAGATCTGGATTTTCCTATCCTCAAAGAGGACTTGATGTTAATGTCAAAGAATAAACACTGTTTACTCTCCACTCCAGCTCCACTCTGTGTTTACCTGCTGACGGTTGCATGTTCTTTATGTGCAGTAGTATTTACTGTCACAGATAAAACGAGATACCATGGATGTTGTGGTAGGGGGTGTAGCAGTGCCTCAAGATGAATGCACGTACAAATTATAAATTACGTATTGATGGGGAAAATATCGTCTGAGATGTAATCACTTCTTGTTTGACAGTGCAATGAGTGTTTTTGGGGACTTCAGAAATGTCTGGGTACAGAGATTTCCAGGCAGTGATTTACCTGCAGCCTGGGAAGAGGATGTCAGAGCCAATCTCGCGAAACATAGACAGAAAGTGGCGGAATTGAAAGAAGAACTTGAAAAAGAGGAATTTTATGTAGAGTATTTAGAAAGATTGCTTTTAGATGTAGCTGAGCATAGATCATGTACCAAAGGTGAGAGTGATAATCCTAGCCAAGAAACAGATAATGAAGATAATGGTAAAACTGACATTTCATTGAAAGCTACAGAAGAGGATTTAAATACAAGTGGCAATAATGTGAGTGATGAAAATAAGCCTGTTTCCAAAGGTGAATCAAAAGCTGTGAATAGAGATTCTGTGCATCAGTGTATAAGTGAACTGTCTTTACTTGCTGCTGATTCACGCATTGTTCGATCAATCAGTGATGTTCCTGAGAAAAGTACTGCTGTGAATAAGGCACTGGAGAATAGAAGAGCCCGATGTAACACACATCCAAACATATCCAACTATGTGACAGTTATAGAAGTTAATGGAACAGCAAAAACTGATGGACAGAAGAATGTTGGAGAAAATAAGCCTGAAGCTGTAAAAAAGATTCCACCTCGCCCTCCACCTAAAAAACCCAGTAAATTAAAGTCTGCTAGTAGTTTTAGTTCAGCAGATCTGGAATATGGTAGTAGTTTATCACTAGACAAAGTAGATGAAAAATCAATTCAGGCCAAAAGTCTTTCAGGAGAGAAAGCACTACAAAACAATGAGAAAAAGCATGAGGATGATCCAAATGGCAACTCTAGAAAGGATGATGCTGAGAATTTGCCTGAAGAGAAAAAGATTCAAAAGGAAAGCAGTTCTTCAGCCAATGAGTCAATTCCTTCATCAGTAGATCCTAAAGGAAATGTTGAGAAACCAAATGTCAGTGAAGCAGTTGAAGAAGAAGAACCGTATTACGACTCGGTTGCTTTGGATGGAGAATATGTTTATCTGCAAACAGGTTAATGCATCAACATAGTTTTTGCTTTTTCTCTCTCTCTTATTTTTTTTCTTTCTTTCAAAAAGAATGCATGAACAATTTTTCTTTAAAAAATGGTTATGAACTTTTATTGTTTCTTATTAAAATGTCCATTCACTTGTTGTAGGTGGTACAGCAAGTAGTACTATGACTAGCGGAACAAGCTCAGGGTTGACTGATACTGATACTGAATTAGGTTTAATGACGCTCCCCAGTAGTAGTCCACTGTCACAATCTCAGTTTGAATTGCAAGGTCCTGTAGTTGTTCCTAGTTCTCCAGACAAACAATCAAATTATGTCAATATTGACTACTTTCTCAAGTGAGTGTGGACCTTACAACTAGTTAAATTTTAAGATTGAAAATATTTGATTTGCAAATAATATGAAAGTGATTTTCAGACATCAGCATACTTCAGGAGAAACTCGAAGTAGTTCAGTTGAATCAGAAGATGAAGAAGTGCCTCCTCTTCTCCGAACAATTTCCATGGAAACAGACCCAACTGATGATGTTGCAAGCACCTTTTCTGAAGCAACATACGCCAGTAATTCCTCTTTGGATTCTGCGTCTCATTTATCTGGAAGGAAAAGTAGTTTGGGACAGGTAAGTGTGCTAATGTGTTTTGTTAATTTGTCCCTGTGTGTACACAAATCTATTAAGACATTTTTCTTTTTGCTTGAAGGAAGCAAACAAGGCAGAGGCAGAGAGAATCACTATGTATCGCTGTATTATTGCCAGTATAATAGAAAGTGAAACCATCTATTTGGAATGCTTAAATGTTATGTTACAGGTTGGTAATTGTTTAAAATCTCATTTGTGGCTTTGATTCTATTGATAAGATATTGTACTAAGCAAGACTGATTTTTTTTATCTAATGTCTAAATTGAAATAGAATAGAAGTGACATTCATTTTACCTCAGACAATTAATAAGAACTTTAAAATTAATGTAATGACTTTAGTGTTTGATTATAAAATTTTATATCCAAAATTGCAAGTCCTGAACATTGAAAGGATCAATGTAAACCAGTGGTTCACCCTTCTCAGAGAAAAGAGAAACCCACAGTGGATAAGAAGTTAAGAGATTTTCAATGGTCAGGGATAAAGAAAGAAATATATACAATTTATGAAATGTGACAAAATAGTAAGATGTATGTAATAGCAAGATGTAAATCGTAAGAATGAATTTCTAAAGTGACCCAGTAAGTTCTTTCTAAATATAAGGTTATAGTGGGATATGCGATACACCCTCAGGGAAATGTGGTGGTGGGGGTGTCTCCTTAAGCCATCCCTCAAATCACACAACACGCTCTGATAGAAATGAATAGAATGGATAGATGATTTTCTTGGCTTGCCCTTCATACGCTTCGTCCCTGCAGCATTGTATTGCCAATTTACTTTCAAAGGCAAGTTTTCTCTCTTCGCTTGCCAGGATCCAAGTTGTAGTGAGGCACAGGCTTTCAGCCCTCGCGTTCACTATAAATATCCTTGAGTCTATCCACCTCATAATTACCAATTCACTTTTATAAGAAAGCACTACTTCAAACTGCACAGTTGCTGCCCTAGCAGCGCGAGGTGGTAGTTTAAACAACTTCCATAACTTGTACCATATGCTAGACTTCAGCCAAAAGATATTCAATTTTACTTTGCAAGCAAATTATGAGGTGAGTTTTCATTAAAAAAATACAGTTGTAGTTATGCATTACACAGACTCGAGGATATTTTATGTTAATCGGGAGGGCTAAAGGCCTGAGTCTCATTCTGAAGTTGAAAATGTATAATAAAGAATCAACTTTGCCAATTAATTTGGAGTAAAATGCGAATTAAATTGTAAGTGCAAAGTGAGTGATATAAGTGCTGTGTTGTAATTATTCCTATCAAAGTATGGAACTGCAAGCTATTATATTGGAGGTGTATCAATGACCCAAGTGCAATACGTAAGTTTTATTAATTTCTATGCAAAGTGTTTTAGTAATGCTTTGGCGAGTACATCAGGAGACAGACGCACACACACATTCCCTCCCATTATCTCTCTCCCCCTAGTATTTCCTCTTACCTTCCCCTCCTGCCACCCTCTTCCCTCTCACCCTCTCAATCACTATTCCCTAAGGGTGTGCAGGACTCACTGTTTTATCTGGTGTGTGAATTAAAGTATCACTTTTTAAAATTAATTAATGTATTAATGTTCTTATTTGATTATTTTGTCATTTAGTATATGAAAGCTCTGAAAGCTACCTTGGCCACTTCACAACCTGTTATAACAGAAGAAGAATTCAACACAATATTTTACAAGGTTCCTGATCTTCATATGTTGCATAGCAAATTTTTGGAAGGTTTGAAGAAACGTACTCAGAATTGGGATGGTAGGCTTACAATAGGTGATCATTTTAGAATAATGGTAAGTAACTTTAGAATAAGAAAAGAAACTTCTGTTATTATATTTTTATTTTATTTTTTTCCATCCACATTCGGCTTACTGAACCTCACTTTTTTTTTCTCAGGCAAGCAACATTAACATTTATGGTGCATTTTTGCATAATTATGTCAGAGCCACAGAAACGGTGAAGAAATGTGGTAGCAATAATCAACAATTTGCAGAAATTACCAGAGACATTAGGTTAAAATCATTGGCTGGACAAAGTTTGTCCTTGGAAGATTTATTACATAAGCCAGTTGCTCGAGTACAAAAGAATGCTCTGGTTTTACATGTAAGCTTTATTGTTATATCTTAATGTGGATATTTTAGATTCAGTGTTTATTGAAATGCTTCATTATCATTTTAGGATCTTCTAAAGTACACTCCTGAGTCTCATCCAGACCATAAAACGTTAAACGATGCACTAAAAATGACCCAGAATTTTTTGGACGAATTTAATATGATACATACAAAAACAATGTTTCCTGTAAGTAAATTAAGAAGAATATAAAAATCCTGTGATAAAAATATGAAGTAATATTTTATCATTTATTCTGTTTAGTCTGCAGATCGAGCCCAGCGCCGCCTTGTTAAAAATTCTTTCATTGTTGAATTGTCAGATGGCCATAGGAAGTTACGGCACTTATTTCTCTTCAATGATGTAATAGCATGTGCTAAATACAAGGTAAAAGATTTCTGTATTGCAATTCTTGGACCCTTTTTAAATAATGAAAATATTAGACTTTTCAGTTAGAGAATACTTGTTGCATTTTTTAACTTGTGTTACATTTAAAAATTGTTATGTGGCAATGGTGTATAAATGACTTGGTTTTCTCTAAATTATTGCTGAACTATTTTTATTCGTAGTATCTTATACATTTGTTTTCTAAATTATTTTTTGTTTGGTTATCTCTTCTCTAGAAAAATATTATTAATTGGGATTTATGTCTTATATTAAGACTTGCTAGGGTTCCTACCAATAGTTTCATAAATTATTGTTCATTGATTTCTGTTATTTGAAATAGCTTTGAAATCAATGACCAGTTTGATTACCAGTCTTTGAATGTGAGACTTCTTAAATAGTTGGTATCTTCATTAAAGCAGATGTTTATATGTACAAAATTGTATAGTGCATATCAATCCTATTTTAACTGAAACCTTTTTGTCTATGATTAATTTAGCATACTAATCTTTTTAACAAAATATTATGAGGTGTGGTGTAAGGAGGTAAGGAATGAAAAATTTTAGTGTCCATAAACAGAGCTAGAGAAGATTTTAGAATTTGCTTAATGATCACAGAAAACAGAAATTTAATCTAGATGGGTCTGTCAAGCCCAGATAAACAGTATAATAATTGTTCGAGGCAAATACAGTCTTTTAGCATTATACAAATACCTTTAGCATATTTTTTATTGTGACTTGTCATTTTGGGAGTTACGCTTTGAAAGCCAACTTTTCTTTGAAGATATCTGTGCAAAAATTCTTAAGCTCTTAGCTTGACAGTAGTTGCACTCCAAGACAAGTTTCAGAGTAGTTGACTCCAGGAAATGCAGAATGTGTTCCTTGAATTGGGAAATTGTTGGGGAAATATTCTTATTGTATGCCAGTAGAGGACAGTATGTTACTTTCTAATCGATATGAATCAGTTGGAATGCTGAAAAGAACCATGAAGATGAAGACGTAATGGACTTATAGTGTAACTTGTGAGTCTATTATCATCAAAATTGATTTAATTGTGAAATGTCACCAGACATAGGGGACAAAACAAGATTTAGGAAAAAAATAAAACATTCTCTCATGTTGTGGGTCTCTCTCTTTCTCTCTCTCTCTCTCTCTCTCTCTCTCTCTCTCTCTCTCTCTCTCTCTTTCTTTCTCTCTCTTTCTCTCTCTCTCTTTTTCTTTCTCTCTCTCTCTCTTTTTCTTTTTCTCTCTCCTCTTCTTCTTTTTTTTTTCCCTCATCAAATTACAGTAAAAGACAGTTCTTTACGAAGAGTTGGAAGGTCTACAAAAAACCTCCCACTTAGTATTCCTTATTGTATTTTTACTTTTTAACTTATGTAAAAATGTTTTCTTATCATTTTGATATCTTTATAATTCTAAATATCATTAATTTGATATGCCCATAAAAATATTTGTATCATGTGTTAATCTGTTAAATGGACTTGTCACTTGCAAAGTATTATCTGTAATAATTTTTCAATGTAGAGATAAGTTGGGCATAGTTGGGTGAAGGTACTTGTAGTGGAAATTTAATACATTATATCCTTTCTTCACAATAATAAGAAATTATCTGAAGTTTTTGCAACTTTGTGACAGATCGCCATTTTAAGTGACTGCAGTTTAAACAGTCTTATTTTGAAGGCTTCACCCTAATTTTGTCACTATCTGTGTGTCTCATCTTTTTTCCCTCAGAAACTCTTTGTGATTTGTACATATTTCAGAAAGGAATATTTGTTTCAATATTCCTTACTGAAAAAAATTGTACAGATCATGGTTTCAGTGTATTTAAAGTTTTCACAACATTTCCATTTATTCCTATTCTTGATGTTAGTTTATTTTTTTTACTACAGGCTTCTGGTCGTGATAAATTCACATTTGAATTGAAATGGTACATTCCCTTGAAAGATATTGTCATATTTGAAGAGCCAGTTACTGAGCCAAGAGAAACTTGCCCTGCCAATATTGTGTCTCTGAAGTCACAAGCCTGTACAGTTCGTGATCAGATTCTGTGGGATGAGAGAAATGATGACAAGGTAAAACTTACTTCTGGTAATTTAATCACTCATTACAATCTGTACTTGAAAATTATCTTTTGTAATAATTCTTTTTGGTCACATATATAATTTTAGAGAACACGTCTTAGTAGCCGTTCAGAGAAGCAGAGGAAGAAATTAGCTGATTTAGAAGCTCAGTTGGTATTAGCCTCTCCTAACTTAGTTTTTCGAGTGGGCAATAGAAGTGCAAGAACATATATATTCTTCCTTTCATCAGAATTTGAGAGGACCCAGTGGATTGATGCAATACATGCACTGCAGGTAAATTGAATTAATTTACTTTTGTAGTGATGTGATGTTGTACATATAGAAATTAAATCATTAAGATTTTTTAAAGATGAAATAATACATTTTCTTTTGTTTGTTTTAGTCTTGTGAACTCCCAAGTCCAAACGTCTCTGTGAGCATGTATGAATTACAGGCATGGATTACAGCATGTCGAAATTTCTTGAAAACCAATATGGGTTCGTATTTATTGCGCTCAGGTCGGGATGAGAGCCTACTTGTAGGCGATTTGCATATTACTCTGAAAGACCTTCAAGGTCTGGAACAACCTGCAGGTAAACATATTTTAGTATTCTCTCTCTGTTTTTTTCTTTCTGTACAATACCTTTTTAAAATGTATAAAAACCATTATTTCTTCTAGATCTCTTTGTGTGCGTAGAAGTTGATTCTTATGGGCATTATTTTCGTAAGGCCAAAACTAAATTGGTGTGCAATTCTTCCACTCCTCACTGGAATGAAGATTTCATAATTGAACTGGAAGGGTCTCAGAATTTGAGAATTTTACTTTATGAAGAAAGTCAAGATAGAGCTATTCTGAGAGGAAAAAGTACTCAAATGGTAATTTTAATGTTTTCATAATATTGTTATTTGAGTGTTTTCAATTTATAGAATTATATTTTTTAATGTTTAGCTAAGTCGAAGTTGGCTCTGTGATCAGAGAGTAGATAAATCTATTCAACTTCAGAATGGATCGTTGCAAATATCGTTAAAATTTGTACCCAGTGAAGTCACACTGAGAAGAGTTCCTACGGCCAAATCATCTGGTTTGTTTGGAGCAAAAATTCAACAAGTTTGCAAGTTAGTACTTTGTTTTGCTTTTTTGTTAGTAATATGTGTTTTGTAATATATATTTTGTTAGTATAATGTAATCAATGAAAAAAAAGAAATTACCACCAATGCCTTGTTGTAGACGGCAAAAGCGAACTGTACCTTTCATTATGACATCTTGCATACGTGAAGTGGAGCGCCGAGGTATGAATGAAGTTGGAATTTACCGTGTATCAGGATCAGCTACTGATGTTAACAAGCTCAAGAAGTCGTTTGAAACAAGTAAATATTTTTTAAAGTTTTGATACAACAGTAGGAGCATGTGTGGACAGTAATTAACTTATATTATTAATTTCTTTTCTTTTTTAATAGATTCTTATGAAGCAGAACAATTGCTAAAAGAAGTGGACATACACTCTGTTACGGGTATTTTGAAATTATATCTCCGAGAACTTCCGGAGGCATTATTTACTGATGAACTGTACCCAAAGTTCTTGGAAGCTTTCAATTCTGGATCAAGTGGAGATGGAGGAAAACAACGAGCTCTGCAGTCATGTTTTGTAGCTTTGCCTCAACAAAATCAAGATATAATAAATTTTCTTTTGGATCATCTTATCAAGTGAGTGAAAAGTAACTAAGTGAATTAAGGAGTGGAAGAATAGAATTATTACATTTCAGTGTAGCTCCAAAATTAATGAATTTAAAAATTATTAATTGGATTGTTGGTGAAGTAGATACCTTTTTATTATGATAAATAAATAAAGATATTGTCAGGTATCAATATTTTAATTCAGCTTATGATCATTTCGATCGCGTAGCGATCATCCTCAGAGCTAAAATGTGAAATACAAATATTATTAACAGGTTGTAGTTATTGTATACAAGATGCGTAAGCAGACTGGATCGTACATACCTTGCAGCTTCTGGACTTGAACCTGAATTAAAATATTGATACCTGACAATATCTTTATTTATTTATCAGAATTTAAAAATGTTTCTTGCGTACATACATATTGATGTTATGAGATTTTAATTTTAATTTATGCATGATCATATTTTTGAATTCTAAACAAAATTTTTCATAGCCATTTATGGTATATTTTCACTCCGAATATGTATTTGCTTCTCTTTTTCTTAGTGTGTATATCATTGCTAGACTGTTTATTTTTCCATTGTTGCAGAGTAAATCATCATGAGAGCCATAATAAAATGTCTTTACATAACCTGGCCACAGTATTTGGACCGACGTTATTGCGTCCTGGGTCTGGTAAATCAGAGTCTTCCAAACAACGAGATCTTTTAGCAGCTAGTACTGTTGATGTAATGGCACAAGCAGGAATATTGTATTATTTCTTACAAGGAAGAATGAATGCCCAGAATTGAATTGTTACATTATCCCCAAGCCATAGTTTTAAAGTTATTGCTGCTATCTCTTATTTATGTAAGTGTACACATATTCCATTTTAATTGTAATTCTATATACATTTTTGATATGATTTTTTTTATTAATTCAAGTGGTCCATGTATAACTTCATTCAAATGTACTTCAGTGCATACGTGATATAAGTAGTTGCAATGTTTTTTACTATGATAATAGGTGCAGGTGTAGCTGTTATTTTTAAATGTTATATACTTTATTTATCTAGTCATATAACAGTAATGCCACATTCTTTTTGTAGCTGCTTGTACAACGGCAGTGATTTTAGACATAGGAAATTAATTCTGTATTTATCCCTTCAATTCTGTAGTTTGGGCAAATGCCATTAACATTGTAATATTAGCTGCAAATTGCTCATACTTCTGTCAGCTTCGATAAATTTATAATGAATGGGCCCTGTTCACAGGATTGAAGTTATTACAAAAATATTTACTGTTTTTTGTTTAGATATGAAGATTGAAAATGTATATCATTATGAACAGGAAGATGACATTCCTGGTTTAGCTTACGTTGTTTTATACTCATGCTTTACCATGTGTTTTTATGCTTACTCTGTAATATACATATTACAGAAAGTAATGTTATTGTAAATATGATACAAGATTCTTATATGTATACATTATGCTATGAGCAGCTGACAGAGACAACTGTATTTATTTTTTGTTTTTCTATTTTTCTTTTTTATATGTATATTAATGATAGTGAAAATTCCAATTAGTGTATTATAACAGGGCAGCCATGCGTCTTTGAACTGTGTGTGAAGAAACTGTGACTTTGGTTAGAAATGACTTTTTATATAAATTTTACATAATCTTAACATTGTAGCAGTGTACTGATGAGCGTGAATTTTGCTAGTGAAGAAAAGACCTTTCATCGACTCTTTGACTTCCAAAAAGAGCAAATTTAAAGTTTGGTTGTGCTTTTATGCTCATACGTCATGTGCTGATGAATTTTGTGTTGCATTCAGACATGTGTAGCTCAAGGGACCAAATATTTCAGATCAAGTGTTCCACAAACAGAATGTACAATGAGTTTTTAGGATAGTTTTATACATGTGAAAATTTATTTTAAGAATCAGGAAGCTGTTTTCATCCAGACAGTGTTTGTGATTTGGTTACTTCGTAGCATTTATATTCATTTTCATGCAGCAAGTATTTTATTAAAAATATGTATAGGGACTGCTGACATCTCGTATTACTTTTTGTAATATGCAGTACAATAAACACACTTTTAAATACTTGCATAAGAAACGTTTTTTGAATTCTGATTGTGTTGTATGTGAAAATTTAGAATCATAGAAATTTCTTCATTTACCGAGACTTGTAGCAATTTGTTATATTGTTTATTTCCACATTACTTTTGTTCTGTTTTTCCTAATTTACAAACCTTTTGCATTTTTGATATGTATTTCAATCATTAGCTTCAATGTTTTGCTTAGGCTCTTCGAATTTTTACTCAAAAACATTAAGGCCTTAAATGTGGATGAAATGGCATTTGGTCCCCTTTAAAACAAACGATCTTCCCTCACAACAACAGAAATGAGGTCATTAAAGAAAATGTGGATTTTCTTCTCTGATCACAGATAGAATGTATTATGTCATTAAATTAATGTCTATTTACAAAAAGATCATCCTTCCTATTTGGCCAGGCAAAAATTATATTTTTCAACATTAAATCTTGATTTTTTCATCAGTGTCTGTATTATTGAGCGTTACTGATGAATTTCACTGAAAATGAGTTTGTATGTTAGGTATTTTTTCCCATAGAATAACATTATGTTATTGATTCATTAATTGAGCAGTAGAAGTGTAGATTTCATAAATTTCAGTATTTTTTTCAAAGGAATCTTGTTATGTTATTTTGTGATAATGTGCCCTGTGTTTTGTGAATAATAACTGGTTTTAAATGTAAATGAATGATAGGTGAGGCCTTTGATTTACATGTGTCACAAAGAGGTAAAAAAACTTCAGGAATAGATTCCTAATAATATGAATCTGATTTATATCTCAATGTATTAAATACAGTTGGAAAAACAGGTCAATGCGGATTTGGAAAAATTTTTGTTTCTTTGCTATCGTACTTGCAAGTATGAATGTGGTGTATTTAAATGCTTTCAAGAACATTAAGCCAGAATTAATATTTTCAGTTGTCTGTATTTCCTTAAATGATTGTTCAAATTATCTACTATATCTTCTGCATTTATATGTTGTGCCTCATTACTTATCAATGTTAGAAACTCCTTTCAAAATCCACAATTTCAATGGAATATTAATTTCATGTCAATTGTTAAGGGAAGTTTCCAAGACAAAGTTCTTTTAATTTGTTTTGTAGAATATTGTGAATTTAGGTTGTTGGTGGGCATTTTGAATGGTTCATTCAAGGAAATATTAAAAGGATATACCATGTTAATTCCAGACAATTTATGACTTGGAGTGCCAATAAAGATATGACCATGATACTTGAAAGTAACCACAATTTAGATCCTGGGCACTTTCTCTCTCTTTTGAAACTTGGGGAATCTATTTCTCAAATTTTGAGAATTTTGAAATATGACACTTGGTATAATGCTAATTTTTTAATATGCCAGCAAAATAAAATTACAAACGTGTCTTTATATTTTCATTGTACTTATTTATTCTATTTTTTCAACCAAAAAAGAATCTCAAAGCAGCTCTTTTTTTACACAAATTTAGAAAACTTCATTAATCTTCATTTTTACTTCAATGATCACATGAAATTTGAGCACAATAATGTGATTTGGAGTATTACGTTTATTTAAACAATATTGAAAATCTTTGAGTACAATTTTTATCATTAGTCTATAAGTTAAAATACAGTGGTCATGAATAAAATGAGTTCTGCTTTTTGATGGAAGTAAAATTTTGTTATGTTTGTTCTCTTGCAGAATATTGCTCATAAATAGGTGGCTGCTTTTGATATCCCAAAACATCGCCAAACATGATCAGTAAAATGCCCTTTAAATGTTTTTAAAATGCCCTAAAAGCAAAGAAACATGACATTAAAAAAACACTTCAGATGAAGAACTCGAGCTGTTGGATATGTTACTGAAGTAATTTTTGTTGATGTGAACTCAGCTTGCAAACATTTGTTAAATCTCTTTCTTTAGTTGTCCTGAAATTGGCCAAATTGACAATGGCAGTGATAGGTGTCACAGGAATCGTAGGTTATTTATTTATTATGTAATGGCTGCAGCAATTTTGCTGTTTCACTCACATACAAACACTGTACATGTTTAATATGAATCTACAAGTTTATCATATGATGCCTCACATAGTTAATATATACCTCACAAGTCTATCATACGATACCTTCATATAATATAACTTTTTTTTTTCAATTCAGCCTCATTTTTACATGGTGAGACCCAGGACATACGTTCTGCTCTTCTGTCTGACCATGTAAATTTCACTACATTCCTTTTTCCATGTAGCGGAGAAAGAAGGTATTACTCGAGCAACGAATCAGGCAATTTGAGTTTAGCTTACAGGCTTCTTTTAGGATTGAAAATCTTTACATGCAGTAAAGCTACTACATGGGTCAGCCGGCTTTAGCAATTTATCAATAAAACAAAATTGTGACTATCGTATCAAAAGTTAATAGGCGTCCTGCATATCTTGTAAGGCTGATTTAAAAGAACCCAGCATAGCTCCATTGACTGACACGACACTGCTGGTAATCTAATCCACGAATTCACCACTCTATTATTCAAAAAGTAGTGTTGCTGTAAGTTCCTTGCACTTCTGATCCCACTTGCGATCCGGATTTCTCTCAAATTTGTGAGGAGGAAGAAATTTGTGTTCATCATATCTTCGATTGATAATCTTAAACGTTTCGATTAGATCTCTTCGTTGCCTCCTCTGCTCCAGAGTCGGCGTTCGACTGCCACGTAGAGCGACAGCGTCGTTCGTCAGCGTACTTTCTCCAAGTCCTCAATGCCTTTTTTGTATGAAGGGGAGCATACTGAACTAGCGTATTTCAAAATTGGTTTCATGTACGTCACATACAGTAACTTCATCTCTATCGACTTAATTCCCGGAAACACTCTCCTCATCAAATACAGGGCAGAATTTGCTCTCTTGACAACTGCTGAAACCTGTCAGTCGCATTTGAGATCTGGAGTTACAACCACGACTAAGTCAACCTGTGCGGTCACTGGTTGTGTTGTAAGTCCACCTATCTGGTACAGGTTTCTGGGGTTGTTTTTACTTATTCCTCTTCTATGGGAGTACTCACAAATAGGACCTCCTCTATCCCTCGCAAATCTCCTTGAAGCTCCACTTGCTGCAATATCAGGATTCCATAAACGTAGTATCATCAGCGAAACTATTCCACTTTAATCTCAAGCCTTTTCCTAAGACGTGTACAAAAGAAACAAGATGGGTCCCAGAACAGAGCCTCTAGGAAGACCACTTGTAATAGGTATCGGCGAAGAGAGGGTGTTTCCAACACAAACTTGAAAAGTTCTGCATGTCATAATATTCAGTCCGCGAAGTAATTTGCTTCAAATCCCTATGTCCCACAGCTTGCGCAGCAATCTCCTTGTGCGGAATCTTATCGAAGGCTTTGACATAGTCCAGATCAGGGGTGTCCAACTTGCAATGCATCAAGAGCCATAACTAAAACATTTAATATTTTCATTCCTGGGCGATCCAATCCTGACTTTCCCGTAATATTGACCTCGGCTGCTCTGAAACTGAAGGGGGGAATATGCATGATATCAGGCCGTACCATGCATAACGCATTGAATCAGAGTAATTTTAATGTTTATTTACCAGAAAAAAATATTCCTTAAATATAAACTTCTATTTTTACATTAAAGGGGGTGTTGACCCTAGCAGGGCGCGTGCCCTAGTTGCACAGGACTTCCATTTTTGACTAATAACCTATCACGGACCTCAATAAACGGCAGCGCGGGCTGCCTTTTGGACAACCTGGTTTAGATAGATGACGTCAATGAGGTAACCTTCATTAATCGCCCTAGTCCAGTCATTCAAAGGACTCAGCAAGTTGGTGGTTGTGGATCTGCGAGGATAATTTGTAAACATATAACAAAAGCGTACACCAGCGCACGAGCCGCATCTTTCCCTCTTGCCTGCCGCCTCTCCTCGCCCTTATTTCACGCCGCACGCGGGTTCTCTGTTTTTCTAGCCCGCTGCGCGGCGCTGACTCATCAGACCTTCGTGCTGTCATCTGAATGTCGATTGAATTCTTAGCTGAAGAGCCCCACTAAAGACAACAAAAAACACTTATTAATGCTTCATTCAGCTGAAATCAAAGATTCTGATCTCATGAAATTTTATAGGGTTTCTCTGAAGTTTATATAAGAATGTAGCGTCGATAACCTATGTTAGAGCCTGAACTACTGTATGAGCATGATCTATAAAGACAATAAACTCGCCTCAGAAATCCTTGTTACGAAGGGCTTTTGACAGGAATGTACTGTGGCATCGACACTTTTTAAGATCTATTTAGAGGAAGCCCTTGCAGAGTGAAAGAGGAAATGTAGTGGTATGGGCATTCCAGCCTCTGGTGAAATTATGTGTACTCTACTCTTTGCCGACGATGAGGTCATCGTTGCCGGGGATATGGATGACTTGAGTTATATGCTCCTTAAGTTGAAAGGGAAATATGAAAAATGATGCCTAAATATTAATACGTCTAAAACTGAGTAAATGTGAGAGATGACGATTTGGAAGATATAACTTAACCACTACTCGGCGTGGTTACCCCGACTCACATTATTACCTGATTTTTCTCCGATTGAGCGTTGCCGCGGCTGCTCTCTCGGTAGACTCCCTAGAGGGAGGCATGCGTGATAGGGCTAACTCAAATGCTACAACAACATTCAAACGTCACCACATTGTTTCATTTTTCTTGAAAAATATTTTAATGACGCTTTTTTGTGATCGAGATGAAGCCTCATGTTAAAATTAATCTTACGAGCTTATCTCAAACTACCGTACTAGCCAGAGGTCATCTTTGGCCGCCGGACGGCCCGGCTCGCGGGAGCGGCAGCCCTGCGCCCCCAGCGTCTGGAAGTGGTCAGTCAGCGGCACCCCACCTCGGCCCATTGTCGGCGGTCGGGCAGGTGGCGTCTTCCCGGGGGTCAGGGGCCCCGGTTACGTGACCGACGGTCGTAGGCCGGCTGCTGTCCATGCGGCGCGGCACCGTAGACTGGCGCCACTGCGTTGGTCCGCACGTTGACGGCACGATTCGCGGTCGCGTTAATCGCGCCCCGGCTCGTCGTCACTGGGCTCGCGGTCGGGCACTTATCGTCATGGCCCACCTTGATTGCTCAAGGTTAGCGCCCCCGAGTCGGCGCGAGATGTAGCGATGAGACAAGGCATTCAGGCGGCGGCAGTACATCCCCATGAGTTGAAGCAAAACCCGAACGTGCAGGATCAGAACGCATAAAACAGAACGTTGTATGTGCAGGATCAGAAGTGAAAATGAACGAGCTAACGTCCTCTTTCACCTTGTAGGTTCCGCGGGTCATGTGACCCTCTCCCGCTTCCCGCAATCGCATTTCCCGCGATTCGTGGGCGCGCATCACGCGGATTCTTCCGCCCTATCGCGGCGTCGGTGGCGAACGCCCGCGTCTTGCCAAATTCAGCTAAACCCGAACGTCATCCGAGTTCCGAGAAAAGGGCTCGGCGGCGGAGCGTCGCTCGGAAGGAGTGGAGTCCGTACTTTCCCCTGAGTCACAGGATGTGGCCTGGCGTCGGTTGCGCCAAAACAAAAGGGCTGGATTCCACAACGTCCCCGGCATCCCAAAAGCGCACGCAGGTAGAGACAAACTGCGCGTTTCCTGGCGTCCTTACCAGCAACGTTATACTCACTGTCATTTTACAAAATACGCGTCGCCAACTGACGCGCGCGACCGTTCCATTACAATAGAGATAGACTGAAAAAATTTAAGGTTCTATAACGTGTAAATACTTTGAGGTCACTTTATGACCTAATGACGAAAGCAGTGACGTCAATAAAATTGGGCAAGGTGAAAGAGCGATACGGCAACTAAACACCATTCGGGGAACGATAAAATAACAAGAACAAGGCATATTATTTACTCAGTAGTTGAAAGTATCACTACTTATGGTAAGTATGGGAACCGAGAAAAAGAGAACGAGACAGGCTTCTTACACTTGAAATAGATTTTTGGAGAAGTAGTGGCACTTCTAAACTGGAACACGTACGGATATTATGGGCGTTAAAAGAAATTTTATCGACAAATATGAAACCAAACGCCTCATCTGGTATGGTAATCTAGAAAGAATGGAGGAGTTTTTAGATGGCCTAAATTGATATGGAAATGGATTCCTCCTGAGAGAAGAAAACGGGGATGTTGGTCCCAAGATGTACAAGACGCGATGACTGCCAGCGGACTACAGGAAGGAGATTGGGAAGAGAGCAAAAAATAGAGAATTTACTTACTTAAAGACGCTTTTCTTCTACTAAGGTTATACAGCGATATTGGGGATAATATTGAAGTAACATTGTGTGAATGGAAACAATCACACGTACCGGGCGGATTTTAACCCGCGACCGACCCTTCAGGCACGAGGCAACTATTGCTGTTGAGCCTTGGCGACCTCAGCTATCCAGACAAGCTAGGGAGTTTTTGCGCCTCAAACGTTCAAGCAGTCAAAAGCACTATCGATCTTCTACGCAGGCGCAGTTCAAGTTTTGCATCATTTTTCTGCATGTGCTTATGCGGAGAAGTTCGAGATTGCAATCAACAGTGCAAAATCTCACTACTAATCTTTTTTGAGCCTAAGAATGATCCTGTTGTAAACAAAGAAGCATACTATTCATCCGCGACTACTCACCTCATAGGCTAATTGCTCTAGGCATCTTCTTAAAAGTACGCGTGTGTACGAACTGTCAGAAGCATACATTGCAACTGCAGTCCCGCCTGCGATAAGAATAAAGCTCAGTTTTCCAGCATTGACACACGCATTCCGTTGCACTATTGACACTACTCATTGCAGACGCGTCCGGAATGGTGTAATGGTAAATGCACCTACGTACATATGAAGTACGTATTGCGTAAGAGAAACAGTGAATATTTCTTTCAAACATATGTACATGAGAGAAATATTACCCTTCAAACATGTAAATTAGGGTCGCGTCTGGAGCAGGCGCCCTGCTTATCTTAAGGTCATGGGTGATAGGACTCCCCAAACCGCCGTCAACGCTAACACGATCCTGACGTGGAAACAGGAATGTTTGGGAACTTGTGAGTTTTCAAAAGGGCAAAAGTCCTCTGACAGTTATGTCAGTTTATTGCGTCCAGGGCATGCCGAGTTCTGGCGGGGGTGGCGTAATGGCCTCGTAAATTTCCCTGTTTCCCATATAAGGATTCTCTAGCGTTGATATCGGACAGACAGCCCAGAGACTTTGTTTGCTGTGCCAACTTCACGCTGCTCTGCAGCTCTACTTTTCAATTAAACTTTCATATTTCATCGAACTTGGTCTCTGTACTTGAAACCTCGCTCCTCTAGGGAATTTAGCTTCCCTGCGAACTCATTATTTTTGCATCCTGTACTGGAAGCATTTGTAATTGCCTGCAATCGCTGCTAGTAGCACGACACCTGCAGCGAAAGGCATTACAAGGGGTTCTACACTAAAATAGTTTATTTCCGTGGTGTGAGAAGTATTCTGTGCACTCCCCTCTCTCCGCACATTCATTACACGTGATGAAGCGACACCCGTGGTCTGCGAAGTGCGTTTGGCATTGTTTTTAACTGCCAATGACGTATTTTCTTCAGTCACACGAGAAAAACTACATATATTTCAACTCGTATTAATGGATTACGTCTCATATGTTTTGTAAAACACGGTCCTCCCACAACATCCGCCATTATAAAATGATAAGGTACGCATAAACATTAGCACTAACACTAAGCGAAGAGAACTGACTGCTGCTCTCTATTGCTTACAATTGAGTCCAACAAACACTGCTTATGGAACTTTTGTTATGAGTCAACTGACGATGAAACTGTCAGCACCGGTCGACGGAAGAATTTAGAGTCGGTTATAGCTTGCTGGAATTGGGTAGGAAGTTTTTGGGCCCTCGAACGTTTAAGCAATGGGCAGCACTATCAATTTTCTACACATGCGCAGTTAATTTTTTGCATCATTTGTGCGTTCGCAGAAGTTCGACATTACTGACTGCTAGGGCGTACAAAAAGTCCCTTAAACAGCGCAACCTGGTATCTGCTGCCCGCAGCTCCGCCGATAGACTTTCAGATCGTGGCGAGCGCGGAGGGGTCAGTCGGTAGCGGTCGTGACGTAATTTTACTCCTCCAGGAGAAGCCGGGTATCTCAACATTTCTGGTGAGGGACGTCGGAGAGTTCGGACGTGCGTAGAGAGGTAGATCACTGAGGAGTCTGAGACGCAATTTTGTAGAAAGTACGGTGCGCAGTAATGGTTCATGCACAATAATAGTATGAGAGCGGAAAATTGAGCCTTCTGAACTGTGATTAACTAGGCGAAGTCTAATATTTCATAAAGACAGTGGAAAGAAGTGGACTAGCTAGTACGAGGCGGAATAGTGGCCACGAAAGCGAGAACTTTGAGCTGTTGCGAGGCGTCAGTAGAACTGTGCAGTTAGCTACACAAGTAAAATGTGTTGTTAAGAATGCCAGAAAACAGATACGCCGTCAGCAAACACGCGTAAGGACATTCAAATACTACCGTCTGAAAGAATACCGCATTGAAAAGTTGTCAGCGTGTTGCATAGGAAGAGCGACGAGGATTCTGGTGCCGGGCGTGGCCAAGAAGCAAGATGAAAGATTGGACGTGGCACAACACATGGATTCTGATTACATAATGAACTAGATGTTTAATTTTCTGTATAAAGTAACAATATTTATCCACTTTTTGTTACCAATTTTTTCTGCCTAAATTCCCCATTTGCAGAGCACGATCACCATACTTTCTATTCTTACTAAGTAAAGGTGAGAAAGAAGAATGTGGGAAAAGAGATTCTGGTACCCAAAAAACCATTGATAAGTCTTCTCAATCAACCATTGACAAGTCTCTCTCCTGCAGACTGCAGGATTTTTACTCTTCTTTGATGATAATAAATTAAATTAAATTATAACTCATTTACTTCTGTCATCCTCAGCATGAAAACCTTCCTTAGGATTGAACATACACATTCATCTTTATTATCAATTTTCCAAAAACACTAATTCATTACCATACCTCACAGACTATTCATCATCATGCTTCCCCATAACTGAATTGAACTACACATCTAATAATAAATGTGTTAACTGATCAACTCAACTGATACAATCTAAAAAAATTAAATTTAAATATTGATTCATTAAAAATGCATTGAAGACTGAAAGAACTCTAAAGAATCAGCATTCTTCACCAAGGCAACTCTGTTCCATCATACTGAATAAATGCTCCATTGTGTTTCTCATTCAGCGAATTTAAAGTATTAACAATAGCTTGAACACTTGCGTCAACTGATAAGTCAGCTTTGGGTCCACCCATATCTGTTTTCACCCATCCTGGGTGTAAACTCGTAACAAGAATTCCATCATTCTTCACATCAATGCTCAGTGACTTTGTGATTGAATTCAAAGCAGCCTACAACATTAGAAGTACTTTAACATTGAAACTATAAAAAATAAATGTTAAATTATACTGCAACATTAGTAATTTCTTAGTATTGTTCCAATGTATTCACCTTGCTGGATCGATATGGGTAAAATCCACCTTGATCATTTTTAGAAATTGATCCTAACACAGAACTTATGTTAATGATAGCTGCTCGATGCACACCAAGAGCGGATGAGGCATTTGAAGCAGAAGCTTTCTTCAACAATGGCAACATTGCCTGTAAAATGAATAATATATTAGATGAGACACTTAACAATATCCTGAAATAAACACATTTCATTAAAAGGGACCTTGCTCATCATTAAAGGTGCAACAGCATTTGTCATAAAGTTTTCAATCATCTGTTCACTTTTCACCAAATTAATGCGTGTAAATTTAGATGAAACTCCAGCATTATTTATCAAAACATTTAGTCCATATCCATTTGTTTTCTTGTCTATGTATTGCACTAACAAGTCATGATCTTTGAAGTTTGTAATGTCTGCAACAGGAAGAATTTATAAATTAAATTATTACTTATAAAGAGTCCCTATACATGTACAAGTATAAAGAATGTAGTGCCCCACAACATACCTAAATAAACATAAATATCCTCACCACATAGTTTTGTGAATAAATAATAAAAAAATATAAAATGTTACTTACAACTAGAAATAAAGAAGCAAAAACAACAACAACAACAACCAAAAAAAAAAAAAATGTAAATCCAACTACTTACACATTTCCCCCTCTAAATTTTTCATTGATACTGTGTTTACGAAATGTACCAGTTCCCAGACTCCAACAACAATGTGTATGTTTCTTTTGTGTTATGCCAGTTTTCAGACACGAAATAGTCATAAAAGGTGCTTCCATAAATAAATTTTCAAATTGTACTCACCTAACTGATATAAATAAACATTTTCATGTTTACAAACAACACTCTGAAGTTCCTGAAATTCATAACACAATTATTATTTAATAATATAGCACATAAAAGAATCAGCACATGAATACTTACAGCATACAAAAGTACTAATAATTAAAATATCTACCTTCATTTTTTCTGGATTTCGATAAGTTGCAAAAAGATATTTTAGAGGACCAGGGTTTTCAATGAGGTGTTTAACAAGTCCAAAACCAATACCCCTATTGGCACCAGTGATTAAAATGGACTTCATGATGCAGCAATTAATAACATCTGGGTCAAACGGAATTTAGACAGTTAGAACTTGTAAAAAGGCAGAAGTTTGTCCCTCTGCATTAATGAGGAGCACTCTTTGATTATACCTGAAATTTAAAATTAAATATTTCTCAATATAATTTCTAATTATTTACATGTAATAATGGGAATGTTTGAAATAATGAGAGTACAGAAGCATGGATTAATATTGCATGGAACTACTTCTTAAAACAGAAAACTATTTTACAGTAGCGTTTCGCTATCTCCGTTCGAATATAAACGAACACAAGTTAATAACCAACTTGTCATGAAATTACGACACAGCTTTGACAGAAGCCGTTCTTAACGTTATTGCTTGATCACACAGAAGTAGTACCTATGAGTAATAGCAGTATTAATAGTAGTAATACTTAGGTTTCATCAAAGCAGTCGGATGGGTTGGAGCCTGCTCCATGACAAGGTTAAGGTTGTCATATTATCCTTTTAAATATTTAAGCCAAGAAGATTAGAATGAATTATTATATGTGATATAAGTTGGCATTACATGATGAAGACTAAGTCAAGAAGACTGTATCTGCTGCCTCGAAAGTCTTCAGGCTTTAAACGTTCTTCCTCTGCTATGCTTAATCAAATAAGCATCAACAAATGTGTCCATTAAAAACACTCATTATTCATGAAAATCTTCGTATTTAAAAAAAAACAAAAACAAGAAAATAACGATAGGATTAAAAAAAAAGTTTAAGTTAAAGCTGAAGTCACGGTGTAATCACCGCGGGCCACGGTCCGTGGCTTGGTATATAGTGATTAGTGGTGAGTGATGGTATCAGATGGCATCCAGAGGGGTCTCCCTTAACTGAGACTGATTCGTTGAATCATGGTTGAATCGTTGAAATCGTCACCAGTTGTAGCGGGAAGGCACCGTATCTGTGCTGTGGTTAGTGGAACACAGCTATCTAGGCTGCTCTTTCAAAATCCTCAGAAAATGGATAATGAAGTTCATATTTTATAAATCATCGGAGGGTCTAGAAACGGATCTGAAAACAAAAAAAATTCATTAGATAATGAACCATTGTCCATAATTTAAAAAAGGTTCTAAAAGTAATATACAGTAACAAACTAAAAACAAATAAAGTACATACAGTAATATAATTATTGATCCAAAATAAATTTTCAATTGGTTCATGTCCCACGCATCCACGAAAAAAGGATATTTTTATTTTCTATTTTTAATGCATTTTATTTTTTCACGTTGCACTTTCCCGTATACATACGTATATACGGAGTAATATACGTACCATACGGAAAGTTATGTAATGCTGTGCGAAATTACGGCGGATTTTGGCAGAAAAAAAATCATTGCCGGGACCTGATAACGAACAAGTGTATAAATCCAGTTGCTAAATTAAGAAAAGAAAATCCTATAACACGTGGTGTAGCCAGTATACCTATTTTGTAAGTCTTTGGTAGCGAAAAACCAATTGACAGCAAAACATCCGTCCGGTTGACTGTCCGTCCGTCGGTATATGAACCCAATCTCGATCAGGTTTTTGTCCAGTTTCCCTGACCCATCCAGCAAATGCTGAGATGTCCGCTTGTTTTGCTTCTGGACGTAAATGTAGCTTCACTGTGCGCACGTTTTGTTGATCTCTCCGTTTGCTTGTAGAGGTAGAGTAGGAGAAGAGGTAAGGGCGAGTTACTATTTTGTTCTTGTTACTATTTAGCTTGTTTTTTAGCTAGCTATTTAGCTAGAAACTACTTGTTGTTATTATTTAGCAATGCAGAAAAATCATACTTGCAATTCGTTTACCGATGTAAATATTCTTTCTAACTCGGGAACGAAAATGTCTATTTTTTAAATGTTGCCAATCTCGCGCTTTTAAAAATTTATTTTTATTTATTTTCAACTTTTACTCACCTTTCAACTATTTATAGTTAAAATGACAGGGGACGGGGAGGGATTCTGGAACTCAAGAAAACGTGCGCAGATGATCTCCTTCATACGTCCCATACAGTTTTTACTGTTTTTTTTTTCTCCTTTTTGACTAAATAAAACTAAATCTAAACCACTAGCGCCTAAATCACACGTAGAATTTTTTTCCATAATGAATATTCCCCCACCGATCTGGCTTCACTCAAGACGCCGCGAATTTGAAAAACTTTCTTCAAAATTTGGGGGTACTTTACATGAAGTCCCCGGACATTTTCAAAATTTTCTCGCTTCAAATTTTTTTCTTTACATTTCTTGAAAGAATGGAGTTAAATACACTTATAAAGCTGGTATCGGTCAGATTTTCACGGTTAACTCTTAATTTTCCAAAAATTGCAAAATTTTGAATATTTTGGCGTCTTCCTACAACTAAAGAATTGAAGATAGAGACTTTTCCTTCAAATAAAATTAGTTTTCCATATGTGCAATTAAAAAAATAATTAAAAAGTCCAATTTTTTTCTTTAAAATTTTTCTAGGGATTTTACTAAATGTACTCCAGGTGATGACATAAACATCAGCTTTCTCTATTTTTTTAATTACAAAAATTAATTTTTTTATCATGTCATGTGTTTTAATCGTCGTTAACATTTACGTTAGCGGCGATTTGTTCACATTATTATATTTGTGAGTGCATTTGCTGTAAATAATATCTGATATAGTTTCTCGAAAACTCAACGGTTTTCTGTGATAACTAGCTCCAAATTCCGCATTTTCAGAAACGCTCAATTGCCATTTTCTCAAAAATGGCTCCAACGTTTTTCAAACTTTTCGAGCGGATAGTGCTCATTGCTCCCGTTACTCATTACACATTACTCATTGCTAACGTAAAGTTATTTTGGAGTATTTTTTTTTTCAAAAATAATTTGAAATATCTCACCCTGTTATGTAATTTTTACACACACCACAAATGTAATTTTTTTCAAATATCTCACACGATTATTATTCACATTTCCAGCAATTTGTAAATACGATTGTGTTTGTGAGTTAATGTGCTTCAAATGACTTTTAATGAAGATTTTCTAAAACTAAAAAAAATTCTGTAAGGAAGCTTTAAATTTCGAAAATTCAGCACCGCTTAAACGTCATACGAAAAATCACACAAACGTACAATGTATTACAACGCTCTCTGCAAGTACTTAGAGAGGGTTTGGAGTGTACTGAATAAAATAAATTTAATATGAACGGTATTTTCGCTAAAAGGTAGTCGAGCAAAATTAGTACTCTTTCTTTAGTTTCATTGTTTTTATGGTGATGGTTTTTGTTGTTCTAAATTTGTTGTGTAAATATTAACACCTGTTGTACACTATTGATGTAATTCTTCGGAAAATATAATTATACTTATAAAAATAATAATAATAATAATTACTGTCTCATAAATACAGCTAAGACATGTGTGACAAGTCAAGATATATACGTAATCATGCGATGCAATTGTGTGTGTGTGTGTGTGTGTGTGTGTGTGTGTGTGTGTGTGTGTGTGTGTATATATATATTGTGTGTATACATATATACACACACACATACATATATTGGAAATACTTTTTACACCGTGATTATTACGCTCCGTGAGAATTACACTTTGGCAAGTGGCAACAAGTGGCATGCACCGGCTGTTCTTGCATATCTATTGGCTGTAAGCAGAGCAGGTTGTAGAGTGCTGTGGGCTACCATTGGCTCTGGAGTGAGGAATGCTGTGTTTTGCTTGGGTCTGGGTCTGGCAGCAAAGGTCCATGAGAGTTGTAGTTTGGTTTCGGATTTGTATAAAATTGTGAATTGATGTGGTCGTGATGGCTTTTTACAGAGAAATAGGCGAGAAATTTATACCAGATATTAAAACATATACTGTAATAGAATGTGTTTGACTAGATTGCAAATGTTCGCATATACGCATACGAGGCTATTAAAATGGACGACTGATGACTGACAGTTATGTGATTGAATTTTTTAAATTTAGGAAGTTGGGGAATAGTGATTTATTATTTTAATGACAAGGACGACTATCATGTCGGGGCACGCAGTTGTGGTTTGGGAATGGGAAAATAGGCAGGCACGATGGCGTCCGTACAGTCCTGAAGTATCACAGCTTCTGGAGAGGGCCTACAGCAAAAAATTGACTCGCGTGATATTGAGCGATGCAGATCCTTTACTGGAAAAATATTACATAAATTTGAAAACAAAGACCCAATGTTCAGAAGACTCTGGTAGGTAGTTCGATGTTTGTAATTATTTTTGAGTATCAATCATTATAAATGTATTAATGGGAATAATACGATTCTCTCAGGTGTTCCACATAATGTCCGGCGGAAGTTTTATCGCCCAGATTCTCCTGCTGGAAAAGGATCCAAGTGGGAATGGGCTGGAGATGGACCTGGAGAGTGGCACACATATGATATGGAAATCCAGTGTTTGATAGAAGAGGCGTGGGCTCGAGTAAGCAATCAAACTTAAAAAGTAGTTTGTTGATGATGTATAGGGTTTGAAGTATTTAGCTTGCTTTAAAGTGTCAGAAAGAACTGAAAGGAAGGTAGTTTGTTCCATAATTGTACAGCGCTAACCAAGAGTAAATTTTACTCCCTCTGTAACCTTTTTGTTTTATACTCTTGAGCCTGTCACCCTAGTTTATCCAGCCGCTAGCAGTGTTATCTTCAGTTGGTTTGCAATATGCCTCTTTAAAAGAAACTTGCCTGAAAGCCGTTTGACAGGGTTGAATGAATTTTACCCTGTCCAAAGAAAACACCCAGCCTTTTTAAAAATTTTTTCATGGTCCATTTTTTTTATTTGTTTAAAAACTACAAAATTGATAAAAATGCCTTATAAATATGTTTTACCATTTTTTTAAATGCTAATTTTGAATTAAAGTAACAAAACTTAAAATTTTATATTTTGAATTATTCTTTGAAAACTAAAATATAATCATAACAAACACGTACAAACAAGTATAATAAGAGTACAATATTAACTTTTCCAGTTTTGCTGCATGCTATACTTTTGTTACTTTATTACCTAAACTAAATTAATGAAACTTCATTACCAATAATTATTTTGAGAGTTTGAAATCTTAAAATATATGGGGTTCAAAATGTGCAACAGAAAATGTGTACTCCACACACACACACTTTTGTATTGTAAAATGCGTCTTGAACAGGAAAGCTTTCAGTTTATTTTTGAATGTATGTATTGGGTTTAAACTTTTAAATTCACTAGGGAGTTTGTTATGTAGTGTAATGCCTTGAATAAGGGTACTTTCTTTTTTGAAAGAGTGAAGTTTTACTGGATGGGATATGCAGATTTCTTTTTTGCCTAGTATGATAATTATGAACTTCTGTGTCACAGAATCTTCCTCGTGTATCTTCTTTGTTAAGATAAATATTTCAAATATATACATGCATGGGAGTGGTAGTATTTGTAATTTTTTGAACAGTGGTTTGCAAGATTCATGTTTGTCAATGTTCTCAATATTCTTTTTTGGATGATGAAAGAGTGAATACTTTCTGGGGAATTTCCCCAGAATATGATTGCATATTTTAGGTGCAAGTGAACATTCGCAAAGTACACCATCTGCAGTGTATTGAAGTCAGAATTTGACTTCAGAATGTGTATGACATTACAGGACTTGTTAAGCTTGTTGATTAGATTTGTGATATGGGAATTCCATTTTAGATAAACTTGAATAGTAAATTCAGTGAAAAGTTGTTTTAGGGCAATTTTTACAGGCATGATTTTTATCATCAATTGTGATGGAGGCTTTTCTTTAGACAGTGGATTCCAAAAGTTGAGGGAGACAGTTTTACTGGTGTTTATGATGAATTTATTTTCTTGGAACCATTTTACTAGTGCCTCCAGGACTGTTTGTGTTTCTTTTTGTAGAATTTGCTGGATATTTGCTTTAATAATAATAAATAATAATAATAATAATAATAATAATAATAATAATAATAATATTTGTTTCATCTATAAATAGGACCATTTTCCACTTTTGTAGGGTCAGGGGCATGTCATTGATGTATAATAGAAATAGTGTAGGGCCTAGGATTCATACTTGTGGCACTCCATAATTTGTCATTCTATGTTGGAAAAAATGGGTAGAAATCTTTTTATCTCTAACATGCTTGATTGTGGCTACTGACAATGATTTGCAAGGTAAGATTGATGTGCAATGCCTCTAGTTCCAAATGTTTCAAGTTTGGATAACAATATGTGATAGTCAGTAATGTCGAATGCTTTTGTTAAATGTTTTTTGCAATAAGCAATGAAATCAGAACTATGTTGAGGAAGGGAGGATTGTTTCGTGCATGATTTGTTTCCTTTCACATGATGTTTTGATTCCTTTTGTTATCCATGATTTGTGGTTTTTGCTTTTTATTTTCTTCAGTGTTTGTGGGAAAACAGTGTTGAAATAACTTTGGAATATGTTTATGAATAAGTTAAATTTGCTATTAATGTCTGTTGCTTTGTACACTTCTTTCCAGTTTTCTGAACTTATCAGGGTGTTAAATTTGTCTAAGTTTTCATGAGAGAAGTTTCAGATTTCACTATAAAGTGTTTACTTAATAACTTTTGTGCCAAATTTGAGTTTGAGTATTTGCTCTGTATGGTCACTAAACCCTGTCGTATATGTGTCAACTGAATAGCTGCAATTATTTGTGTATTATTATTATTATTATTATTATTATTATTATTATTTAATCAGTGGTGGTACTGCCCTTTTCTTAGATATTCTGGTAGATTAATTTATATTAGTTTGTAAGTTGAAAGATTTAAGTCTATTTTTGAATAGTTTCTCATTTGTTTTTGACAAACAGTGAAATTTGAAAATTGAAATGGCCGCCTAATATAATTTTATAGTTTCTGCGTCTTTTAAGTTTAACAAGAACAATTTCAAGGATTTTTAAGAAAACATTTGTGTTTCCTGTGTGTACATATATAAAACTCATACTCTTTGTTTCGGTAAGTCTAATGCAGCTATTTCAAAGTCTTTATCTTTTAAGAGAGATGAGTAATCTGTGATTAACACATAATGAATAATGTTTTTAACAAATATGCAAGTACCACCATAAGTGTGATGTGGTTTGCCTCTTTCCCTATATGTGCCACTAGCTAGGGTGAAAGATGGAATATGTGTGCTATCTAGTTGTTGCGTTAACTAATTTTCACTAAATCATAATGTTGTTCAGTGTTGTAGGTCTTGTTCAAGTAAGATTTCTAAATCTGTGAGATTGTTTCTTAAAGTCTGCACATTTTGATGTAGTACATCCTGATATTTGTTTTTGTGTGTTGTAGGCTCTCATGTTAATTGTAGTTGCTACAAGTCATATGCAGGAGGTGGTCTGTGGATTAATGCTTAGGGTTAAAGTTAAGTGTTGTAATTTTGTAATTGTTCTGCAGTGTAACCAAAGCTTTTGTTGTGGATGAATTCAAGTATCTTTTTTATTTTTCTTGAAAAGATACAAAGTTGCTTCATAACTGCCATTTCACATCACAATTTCATAGGGAGTTACAGATAAAAATAAGGTGTAATATATATTCAGCTTCTGTGTGGATTGTATTTTATAGAATAAGTAAATTAAAAGGGCATTACATTGCTATCAACAGCTTCTAAGCTCTATGCAAACATGCTAAGGAACAGACTCTATGAAATATGTGAGAATTTCAGGAGAGAAGAGCAGTGTGGATTCTGAAAGGGTAGAAGCACTAAAGACATCGTCTACATGACAGATGTTAATAGACAAAAGAAGGGAAAGGAATCTACCAACTTTTATAATATTTATTGATTATGAAAAGACTTATGACAAAGTTAATGGACAGAAACTCGGTGAAATACTAGAAGAGGAGAAAGTTCCAAATCAGTTACTCGATGCAATACAAAGTATGTACAAGCACTCAAGAATTAAAAGACTGTGAAGAGGAGAAAAAGTCAGCAGCAATAACAACCTGCAGTGGCTTAAAGAAAGGATGTGAATTATCACCCATCTTCTTCAACGTATATATTAACCACTTAGTGAGAAACTGGAGGAAGTAAGTTAAACAAGGAATACTGATCACAAAAGTCAGGAAGATAGATGCAATCTTGAATGCTGTTGATCAAATTATCATAATGGATTCTGAAGATAATTTACAAAGAGTATTTGAATTGACAAAAGTAGCCCGAGAATATTCCCTGGAGATAGCAATTCATAAAACATAAGTTATGGCTGTAGAAGGAAGGAACAAAGGAGAGCCAAAATACTGTTAAATGGAGAATTAGAGGGACATGTAAATACATTTTCATACCTTGAAAATATCATGTCTATACAACGAAACTCAGGAAGTCATAGAAATCAAACTTAATAAACTACAATAGAGTATGTGGAACAATTAAGAGTCACTTTGGCAGTGATATGGACCCAGAAACAAAATTGAACTCCACAATATAGCTGCTAAACCTAGAATAATGCATGGCTCTGAAACATGGGTAATGAAAGAGGGAGACAAAAACTACTGGTGCCACACATGAGATTTCTAAGACGCCTCGTGGGAATCACAGGAGGCAGACTAAGAAATAAAGCCATTAGTAAGATTGAAAACCAAATGTTTAGTAGAAGAGATAGAACAGTCTCAAAGGCGATGGAAAGATCATTGACAGAGAATGAACAACATATTTCCTAAAGTATCTGCAAGTACAAACCAACAGGGATCAGAGATGGAGGGAGACCACTAAAGGTGGCAACAGCAGGAACACTTGGAAGACTAAGAATACTGTAATAAACCAATAGAAACAGACTATAGAACCTATTTTCTGGTTAGTTCATAATGATGAAGTAAATTAAATATCAAAGTTTCTTTCCAAGTTAAAGGGTGGTCCATCAATTACTTAACCTGAAGGAGTGGAAGGAGGGAGTTTGAGGCAGAGTTACGCTGTGTTACTTGGGGCTAGGGGATGTTAGTTTAGTGTTATGCAACATTGATTTATTTTTAATTTTTCAAAATTTGCTGGGACATCTTTTTCCTGCCTTTATTTTTTAGTATTTGTTCCATGTATCACCTTGTACTATAGTTCCGTAGAAGTCTCTACAAAGTAATTCTTTGTTGTAATGTCACTTGTTTATATTTATAGGTTATAAATTATTAACTAATTACTGTAAAAAATGAAATAACTTGGTAATTATGTGTAAATTGCTACAATTGCAATTTTTTAAAATTATTTGTTATTGAATCTGTAAGATTACAAATAAAATATACAAAACTGATCTATTGTATATTCTAGAATCTAATTAAATTGGTTCAGAAGCCTGTGCGTCATCCACAACAATGTTTGCACGGCGTGTCAGAAATTTGTATGTCTGTGTCTCCTTCCTTCACACATCACTTGTTCCAAATCTTATTGTTAGGTGTTCACAGCATCCCCAATTATTTCTGACTTATTATCAAAAATTTTAGAATACAACACAAATAAAATTAATACAAATTATTTTTAAGGTGATACAATTTATTTTTACTTCTTGTAAATGTGGGGGAGGGAGGTTTTCAGACACAGTACGTAATTATATAGTGGGGTTTAAGCACACATTAGGGGTTTGTTATAGTTGGGAAGGGCATATTCAAAATACTCCAAAAATTTGTTGCGTAATTTGTGGACAATCGCTAAGAAATATGACTTCCCTGTTTTAAATTACAATTGATTTACATAATTAAGTACTTTGCTTCACTGACTCCACTACAAAATTGAAGTTTATCATAAGTCTCAACCATTTTCCAGCTGGTAATTTTATATTCAGCAGCTTTAAGTACCTCTTGCCATTTTCTTCCTTTAACAATTACTGCTGTATAATCAGCAAAGGATACTAACTCTCACTGAAGAGATGATTTATGTAAATAATGAACAGTAATGGGCATAGGATAATGCTTTGAGAAATCTCACAAGTAAGTGTATGTCTTATTCACTTGCACAGTCTGTTTTTGATCAGTCAGGTAATTTTTTAATAAATTATTTATTTTCCCATATTAATCCATAACTTTGACACGATTTGGCCAATTACTTCAGATCTATGTTGTTGTTGATTGTGTCAAATGTGTGTGGGGTATCAGGCCATATTCTGTGTGTCCTGAGGTGGCAAGGCTATACTAACTATAGGCTGGAAGAGTAAAATTGGATTTTGATTTGAAAAGAAAAGTGTGTTTCTTGATTCTATAAATAAACAGATTTCAATATAGAAAAAAAAAAAACAGTTTGGTAAACAATTTTCTTCTTTAAGGTTTAAAATATTGAAGTGAAAATAGTTTAAGTATTGCAGTAACTTGGAAAACTAGGATTAAAAAAAAACTTGTTTGTCCTTTCCATAATTTTTTGTGTCTATAAACATCATTTTTATTGTGCGTGTTTTTCTTTTAATTTCACATTTTTTCATTTTTTATTTTAGGGAGAGAAGACTATAGATGTCAGTAAATATTACCCTGCATTCCCATACATCATAAATTTTTGTAATCTTACTCAAGTTCGTAATAACACTGGTTATGTGCGAAACGTCCGGAGAGTACAGCAGGCACCATACCCTCTCGTCAAGGTGCAGCCTGAGGATTTGTGCAATGGTCCTGCAGTGGCAGGTGACTCTTACTCTAATTAGTGCTTTTTAATTTTGTAAATTAGTTCATTGTAATATAAGTTATGTAAAATAAGTACATTAGTCATAGTATTGATTTTTTAGTGTTAATGCAGAAAGTAACGGATGAAGGAATGAATGAGTGAGGGCGAAGATAAATTTTGTTTCTTTATCCAAAATTATTTGGAGTTAATTGTAGTAAGTTCTAATGGGGAAAAGGTGTTGCTTTCTATTGAGAATGTGATTTTTAAAAGTGCCATGTCTTCGGCAGAAGATTAAGGAAATGTTTTCAACAAATCTTAATCTTATTTATTAATGAACCTTTTGAATTTTGTCCGGGGAAATGTGAAACATCTTAAAGAAATTATAAGGAAATTATAGGTTATTAAATGATATTAACAATTCAATAAAATAGGTTTCAAATAGTTACGGTGAAAAAATTGGACTTATTTGTACTAGTAATGGATATGTTGATTGTAATTCATTTGAAAAGTCTATTTCCAATTTATCATATTCTCTAGAAACGTAAAAACTTTGCAATGTTCAGCACATAGAAATTATTTTCAAATAGAATTGCAATAATAAATAAAATGATGTAAAAAAAAATTTTCCCAAATTTTCTGTGTAAAAAAAACTCTCCTGTCATTTTCATTAACAAGACCCAGTCATGTGAGCTTAAAACAAGCTCATATTTTTGCATTTTTCATAGATTCCTACTAATAAATCATTTTTAACCTTTTAAGATAATTTTTAGTATCATTTTAATGGTTGCTTCAAACAATATTTATGCGTTGCAGCAAATGTTCCTCAGAATTCCTGAGTAGCCTATTCTATTTCTTCACACAATGACACCTTTCAGCGCCATTGTCAGTTTAGCTGATTTCGCAATAAATAAAGACAGAGATTTTCTTTTAAAGAAGAGTCAAAACCAAAAGTTTGCCAGTTGAGTTCACTTGAAAGGAAGAAGCCTTGATTACATCAGTAACATAACCAACAGCTTGAGTTGTTCATCTGAAGTGGTTATGATCAAATTTTGTATGTAATTTTTCTTTGTTTTAGGGCATTTTTAAATCAATTATTTTAAGAGCAATATATTGATCATTTTTGGCAATGTTTTAGGTCATGAGAATCCACACGTACGTATGACATTTTGCTTGTTAAACAATTTTTGTCTTGCCTCAACCTTGTCTTATATGAAGGGAATATGATGGGAATATATGGTAATTGTTGTTTCGAGAAAAAAATGAAAATTTTTGAAACAGATAAGTTTTATTAACATTTGATTTGTGTTCATCGACCTTGGAAACTGTGGGATATACATTTTGAAATTAAAACATTAAGAAATAATGTTATATTGAAAAATTTCAAAAGCACAATTTCCTATCTTATATCCCATTTAATTTTTAACCAATTATTGGCATGGTTTACTATTTTGCCAAAAGGCTTGAAATTTTGTACAGTTTAATTTTCATTTCATTTTTTCCATTCTGCCAATTAGCTATTTTTTTCTTTTTTTCAATTTCATATTATTGCTAAATTTCAAATTTTACTGTTGATTGGTAGATTCTGATTTTTGTGTAGAAAATCATGGAGAACAAATGGTATGATCCATTTGCTTTTGCAGGTCGTAGAGCTACTCAGAACATTAAGACACAACCTAGAGCGTGTAATAATGGAACCAAAGGAGATAGCAGTATGCTTTTGAAAGATGCTACTAACTCCCTAAAAAAGCAGTCCAGTATATGCAGTAACCAGAAGAAGAATCCAAAGAAATGTAAAAATACCAACGATGGGCCTGGAAATATTGCTCGTACAATTCTTAGCAATTTGAATATTTTTGGTATGATTGTGAAACTATTAAAATGAATCATAATGTATTGGAGTTTTGTATGTAATTATTTAGAATGTTAAGAAGCAATTCCTATTTATGTATCCATTTGTATATTTATTAACTTCCAAATTCTGTTTTAGGGAGCAAAAACAGTTCCTCTCTCTCAGCATGTAATCCAATGGTAGGTGCAGCTTCTAATAGTTCTGCACCACGAAACTGCAGTAAAGAATCTGTTCTGGATGTAGATTCAAGTAGTACGAAAAGTGGTCGTCGCCCAAGCGTAGATACAGTGTCCACATACCTGAGCCATGAGTCAAAGGATGAATTGAGGTCATCCCAAGTGAGTTTTGTTTGAAAATAATTTGTTGTTGTTTTTCTGTGAGATTCAAAGAATTTTGTTTGAGTTTTTGCTTGATTGTTTCAGGGAGATTTATTAGATTGTAGCAATAATAGTGAAGAAGTTTTTGAAAATCCACAAAAAACGATTAATACGTGGAAAATGAAAAATAGATGTTCAGGTTTTGGCTCAATCGTTGGAGTTGACCCTGCTAGTCATGTTATTTCTCAGTATGTCCGTGTTGTTGAGGATGGTTGTTGGTCAGATGGTCGATGTCCAATATGTTTGATGGAGTTGGCAGCTGAATCAAGTGGGTGCATGGTGGTAGCACTCACACAGTGTTGCCACCAACTTCATCTTGATTGCTTGAATGCCATGCTCTCTAGACAGGCTTGTAAAAAAGTTAGTTTGATTGATAAGTTTGAGAATTGTCATTTGCCTTATTAAATTGCTGTGATTGTATTACTGACTGATGTATTTTTTCCAGAACATGTATATTCAGTGCCCTGTTTGTATGATGATTTATGGTGAAAAGACTGGCAATCAACCTGAAGGAAGTATGGATTGGACCATATTAAACTGCTCTCTTCCTGGATATCAAGGGTCTCGTACAATACAAATCACATACAAGTATGTAATTTAGAGACTATTGTCTTATATACCTATACTATAAGAATAATTGAAATTGAGAGAGCTTACTGAAAGATTTCCTAAAATGTATTGTTCTGTATTTTTAGTATTGCTTCAGGCATTCAAGGACCTGAACATCCAAACCCAGGGCGACCATATTATGCCGTTGGATTTCCAAGGATATGTTACATTCCTGATACAGATAAAGGTCGAAAAGTTTTGAGGCTTTTGTCTGTTGCATTTGAAAGGCGCTTAGTGTTCACAGTAGGAAGATCGGTAACAACTGGAAGGGAGGATGTTGTTACATGGAACGAAATACACCACAAAACTGAACCTGGAGTATCAAGTTCTGGCCACGGTTACCCAGATCCTACATATCTTGATAACTGTCTCAAAGAGTTAGCTGCCCATGGTATTACAGAAGACACTAGTGTGTACCAAGAACTGTGTTGATAAGGCAGGTTAAATTTTGTAAGCATATGTCACAAAAAGCTTGCAATCTATTAAAATAATATTGTGTAGTGTCATTCATGTGTTTAATGTAGCATATCTTGTGCTTTGAGATGAATTCTTTTAGGTAAGCAGCACTTTTGTGAAGAGTGTTGCAAAAGGCAGACCTGTTTCTTTAGGCTATTACAGTGAGGTTCTATGATATGCATTTTTGGTGAGCACTCAATGCTCTCATTAACTCTCTATCCTGCAATTTTTTATTAAGAAGTTCAAGCAAAACATTTTAAATTAAAAGCTCTTAATTAAAGAGATCTTAATTAAAAAGACTTTTAATATGTATGATTGTGAACTTTGATTATTTTTACTGAATATCTTGTTTTTGTGAAAAGAATGCGTATCATTGAAGTTTATATTTTTGGGTAAAAAAGATTAATAACCAAAATGAAATTGCTGTGGTCTGTTATGACTTCTTATGGACATTTCTTCCATGACAGGTTGTTATCCATTATGCTCAATTACGTTGACCTAATGTTAAGCGAATGGCGACATTGATATTAGTTCTTATTAAGGTGAGAATGGAATTTTAGCAACCTGTTAGGCCAGTTTTTTCTTTTTTCATTTATTTGCTTTTGTCTTCATATTGTCATTGGCATATTGTTATTAAAAGGTATAAAATACTATTCATAATTTAGTACTTGGTTATTATTTTGATATTTTAACAGGACAATAATTTGCTCTGGGAATAAGTTGTTTATCCAAAATTCCAAATGTATAGAATAGTTTCAATGAAATACATAATTTTAAAAATTACTAATTTCAAAAATAATTTTTAATGTATATTTTTCAACTTTTGTACAAACAATAGGCATTGAAATATGTCTAAATTGCTCAATAACTATATGATATAGGCAAGTAATTTGGAGATTTTTTCTCCTTTGTATGGAATTAAGCGCAGTGTAATGTTCAAGATAAATTATGAGTTTTGTGTGGTATACATTTTTAAAAAATATTATTGGTAGACAATTAATTAAATTATGTGGATTCTTCTTATGCAAAGACTTGAATAAGGAATCCTCTGTGTTTTATAAATTCCTTTCTACACATGAAGCAAAAGTGCATTTACATTTCATTTCCAGGCAGAGATTTTATAGGTATTTCTTCTCAAAAAATATGTAAAAGAGAATTATTGTTGCCTTTCTTGTCTAACATGTTAACAAACTTCGAAAGAAAGGAAAAAAAATTATTACTGGTTGTTACTCAAGCATGGGAATCATTCAGTAATTTTTAAACCTATTTCTCTCCTGTGTTTTGTATATTTATGTACATTTAGTGCCATGAGAAACTTGTTTTGTGACAAGATTTGTGATCTCTTTCTGGAACATGCATCATGTGTTATCATTCATGATCGAGGTCTAGGCAATTGTTGAAGCCTTTAACTTGATTTACAGAAAAGGGTTACTTTTGGGGGGAGGGGGAAACATACAAAAAACAAATATACTTTATGCAATTGAAATTTTTGATCTTATCAGTAGTATTTAAACTTTTTTATTGGTAAAGAGATTGCCCAGGAAGCAACTGTGGTATGACAGGTTGACAGATGAAGTCGAGTGTTTTATTTTTGCAAGATAATCCATGGACATAATATGGTCTTAAGATTCAGTATTCTTTCTCTCAAATTGTTGGACTGATAAAGTGAAAAGTATTTAACAAAATAGGCAATGAATCTGTTATCTCAAATATTTCTATTCAAATTGAAAATTTGTAAATGATATGTAAAATAGTTGGTATATATGTGGTGTGTATTTCATAAATAATTGTTGTAAGACAGAAAAGTGGGACCAATAGTAATTTGAACAGATTTATTGCTAATAATTTTAATAACTATTTTTATTAATGAATTTTGTATAACTGTTATAAAGTAATAATGGTTTATATTTTTAAATATTTAGTGCAATAGCATATTTATTTTGTGCCAAATGAATTCATTTCATATTTCTGAAAAAGAAAAAAAAATTGTGTGATATATATATATATAATTATTGTAATTTTATTAACACAATGTAATAATCCTTTATGGCAATTGGCTGATATGTTTCCCACTATTCCTGACCCTGTTCAAATTAGAGTACTTATTTTGAGTTTTATCCACAAAAAATATTGGCAGAATGGTGCAAAAAGAAGGTTATAAGTGGAATAGACAAATTTTAGTGTATCAGAAAAGCATATAAAATCGGAAGGAACTGAAAAAAAACTTGTGGACTGTTTGAGTTAAACATCTGCCCTGAAAAATTACTTTCAAGTAAGAAATATTTTGTAATACTGTATAAACAAATTATTTTATTTTTTAGAAAAATAATACTTTTGCTATATTTTTTTGTTGATGAAATTCAGGGAAGTGCTGAATTATCATTATCGGTTTCTGCAAATCAAGTTTTACAGAATGATGGTCAAAAAGTATTTAGGAAGCAGTGATATAATTTGATTAAATATTTTATTAATAGAATTCAGTATTATTACATTAATAGTACTGATAAAAATGTGTTAATGTATTTCCGACAATACAAGATTCACCAAAATTAGTCGATCTACAACTTCTGGGGAATTCAGATCAAGAAGCGAGTTGTTTAATACAAGATTTTTGTTTCTTTGTGTTTTTACAGTGTGATTATTAATTTCAGGTTACAGGTAAAGCATTAACATTTTTAATGAATTTGCATTTTTGGGAAATACTGTAAACATTGCACCAAGGCAACATATAGCAATTTCACTGGTGTTGGTTTGTGGCCAGAAGATGGAAGAGCATTTCTGGATTCCAAAGTTTCTGTGGGTGACTACTGAAATGAAAAGAGAAACAAGGTTCTACAAAACAGATCAGGGCCAAGGAGGGATTGCTTCCATGTCCACAAACATAAAGAGTATTATAACCAGTAGCAAAAATTAATGTAAAAAACTTCCAAATTAGATATCAAAGTCCCTGTCTCTGACCAGCTTGTGTCTTTGAAGCATCACTATGTTTAAATCGGAGTGTAAGACCGTGGGGCCTAGGCCAAGATGCCCCAGCTGGTCCCCTTCTGGACACTGCTGGCTCTTGGTTATATGAAAACTCTTGGATTGCCTGATAATGGGACTTGTGTAATTGGTTGAATACGATGATTTTCTTAACATACACAGATAATGTCCATTGCGGTAGTGGCCATGTCATTACTTTTTGCCCTCTGTTTGCAATGACAGTATTCAAGTTTTATGAAGAAAAGTGCACAATGAAATTATTGTGAGGATAATCCAGTGGTGCTTTCTTGCATTCTTTCTAACCGCTCCACAATATTATTTATTCAATATACGGACAATTTTTGGTCCAAATACAAAAGGTTATAAAAATATTTAGAATAATAATAGATGTAATTACATGGATCAGAAGGTAATAGAGAATGTTTTCAAACACCTAAGCATCAAGTTATTTGAAATAAAAATATTAACGAAGGTAGTAAAATTGGGATTAATTATATCAATATCCAGATCATTTACCTTACCTAAGGTCCTAATAGATTACCTAAGGGATTACTCTATGTAACAAACTAGTAAATTAAAATGCTTAAACTCAATATACACATTTAAAAATAAACTGAAAGCTTTCCTGTTAAACCATACACTCTACAGTAGAAAATAATGTATCATAAAAACATACCAACATTAATATAAACTAGAACTAATAATTTTTGCATGTTCTGAAACCCCCAAACTAATTGTTAGGTCTGTCAGACCCAATCTGGATGATATGCTTCTGAAATGTTTATGCTGAACTCCCTCAAGCCTGTTTATATGGCAGACAAATAGGGTGACCACTCAGTGGAAGAAAAACGATGTGATCTAACTAGGGAAAGGTGTATGTTCTCAAGACAGCAACACCCCTAATCTCCCTACAAGTCCTTTTAATTAGACCAAGGAGCTGTAAAGACCTGTTAATAGTTATATCTATGTGCTGATTAAAATTCATTTTGGCATCAAATATGACTCTGAGGTCTCTAATTGATGAGACATGAACTAGAGTTGTGCCATTGATGGAGTAGGAGCTTTCAAGGATTGATGCTCTGGAGAAGTTGATAACCTTACATTTGTTAGGTTGCAGAGCAAGGTCGTTTTATAAGCTTCAGGAATGAAAAGCTGATAGGCTATATTGAAGGGTAGTAAAATCGTTTGTGGATTAAACATTTAAACACCTTGAGTTCATCTGGAAAAAGCAGTAGTTCAACTTGATTCATAATAGTTTATGAAAACTACAAAAAAATACTTAGGGTGGGTACCTTGTAGGGCACCTGAAGTAACATTGATTTCACCAGAGATAAAATTTCTGTATTTAACTAATCGTATATGGTTTTGTAAATACTCACCTACCCACTTCAAGCCCTACCCACTTGGAGACAAACGCCTCACTGAAGTCTGTATGAATGCTGTCTACGTGGATCTTTTTCTCCAAAGCTTCAACAATGAAATTATTGTAATAAACTAATTTGGTTTCAATATTTTGTCCAGGCATGAATTTTTGTTGATTAATAGATATAAATGAAATAATTTTAGACTTAATCTTGTCAGTAACAATTGATTATAAAAGTTTGGGTATAATGCTTAGAATGGAAATTGGCCTGTAATTGCCACTTCATTTTCATATCCAGTTTTGTGAATTGGTGTGATTTCCATTCTGATGGAAATTTGCCTTCAGTTAACGATAAATTTGCAATTCTGTAGAAAAATGGAGGTGGGTGGTATTCCATCAGGGCCAACACTTTTATTTATGTCGAGTTCATAGATTTTTTGAAAGACTTCATTAAATCAAGATATCAAGAAAAGAGATTTTATAGGGGTCAGAGAAGTTGAGGTTGGTAATATCAACACTGTTTATTAGTCTGGAAAATATCATACAATATCTAGCTAACTCATTTACAATAGGCAAATCATTTAGTGATTCAGAAAAACACTGCATACAATTTGGGAGTCCCTTACTAGATCTTTTAGTATTATATTTCCGAAAGCTGTTCAGATTGGCTACAAATGAATTGCCGAAATTGAGGCAGTAATTTCTGAAATCTCTCCTCAATAAGAATTTACATTTACTCCTCAGATCTGATAAGCTAAATTTGAATTATTGATTTTATATTCTTTACAAACTTCAATGTTTAAATTAATTGTTGTTTTCAATGTATTGCTGTACCTTGGCTGTGCCACTCTGGAAATTGTGATTTAACTAATTTACTTTTTGGAACAAATGCTTCAATGCAAGAATAAAGGAAGCAATCAAAAAAGTTTATACGTTCAGAAAATGAAATATCTTTCGCAGGAATATATGAGAGAAGCAGTCCCAAATATTCAATTATTTTACTACAATCTGCAGCATTAAAATCATATACCCAATCATCATATCCTGTATTAAGAGTGATATCACCAATTTCAGTCTCTATAGTTAGCGCTGGATATAATCTTCGGTAATACCTGAATCACTAGCATGAGTAAATGAAACAGGAGGCATACTGAAAAAATTAAGATATATTCCATGGACATTTGGGGTTGTATTATGCTGACAAAAGTTTAAAAGCATTTTGTATCGGACAAAGTGTTTGCTTTATTCCCAATTCGAAGAGATGTATTGTTATTATAAATAGGTACACTACTGTGATCATTATCACACTGAGTTATATCTGGGAGATTATAGTCATCAAATAACATCCAATCAATATCGGAATACAATAAATCAATTTCCTGTAAAATATAACAATGAGATAACATAATCTCCTCAGAAGCATAGGTGGAAAATAGAGAGCCCTGATAACTAAATTACAATTTATATTGTGAACACGAACAAAGAAATGTGTGATGCTGCACACTGAACCTAAAATTACACATTGATGTGCATCTTTATTTGCTAACCCCCCTCCTCTCAAGTGAATACTGTAGAATTCCCCCTCCTCTCAATAAGAACCTCCCCCCTTCTCTCAAGTGATTACTGTTATGATTTCAATAATTTCTATATACAATGAAGTTACGCATTCTCAACTCCGAGCTTAGTATATCTTGTAAGCTATGTTTCAATAGCAATTATAACGTCGTACTCATACTAATTTGTTTCTCAGACCTCTAACGTTTTGATGATAATATTTAAATTTTGTAACTTTTTTTATTATACTACATAAAGTACTACATACTGCAAAAGTATTTTCAACCAGCAAACATTTATCCCGCTCCAAGATCCGAACTCAGACCCTCAAGAGTTAATTTGCCGTCACTCATACTACTACATCTACTCCACACGGGCGGACGTCGCGACGCCTAAAAATGTCAAACTCCCAAAGCTTCGAATTCATTCAGATCGATCGGGGAACCGTGGCCTCGAGTTCCTTCAAATCCATCGAAGAAAATCAATTTTGAAGAAATTCGTCTGAACCGCTTAGGCGTCAACAGATAGACATTCGTTTTAGCCTTAATCAATTTTTCGGTTTCAAGGATACACAAAACATGGGTACTGACTACACATCGTCGGGTTAGAGGAAGTAATTTACTATACTTAAGAACAATATTGATCTACTTTTTCGTTTCTCGAGCCCTGCAATAATAGTTTTTCTGTCGAAAATTCGCCTTTTCCGGCTCACAATTCCAATGCTTTCGCGTCCCGGACCTCCCCAAAAGGGAACGGGTGAAGAAAGGAAGGGGGCGGTGGGCCGCTGACCCGGGAACGCGAGGGGCAGGAGACGGCTGAAACGGGAGGAAGGGCGGATCTGAAATAACTGAACTCGAAAACAGGCCAATGGAATTTATTCACAATCTGTTTATACAGCTAGATCGTCAATGCAAAGATACACTTCGTATTTGCTAGCCAACTCCCAGAATCTTAAGTTCAATAAAGTAAATGAGTAGCCCGTCTCCTCTCGCACCTTAAACTTCCTCCTTCCTTCGTTCTCCTTCACTCGACGCGCCGCGCCGTCTTCCGTCCGTCGCCGCTTGTCCTCTTGGCAGCGGTGAGGTGGTTGCCCCGGCTGGCTGACGATTTATTTGGGCGCGTCAGGACCCCCTCAAAGGACTAAATGGTAACCTAATCCCAATCGGCTCGCACCCACACGAGTTAATACAAGTTATTACACAATACTTCTTCCCACCCCCACCGTCACTCTGCGCCCCTCGAACATGTAATGATTCCTGGGAGAATGTAATTGAGCAATTGGAACGTAAAGTAAGGCTGCAAACTGAGCTCTGCACCACTAAGAGGCAATTTTTCGAATGCGAATCCCCAAAAGTTCTCGAATCTTTCAAAATACTTTATATAAAATATTAATATTAAAAGGTTCGCAATATAGTTTTTATTCATTTCATATTGCAG